GACATATACTTGCATCATTTTATGTATCTTTCTGGGACCCCGGAAGAGGTTATTTACATATATTTGCATCATTTTATGTATCTTTCTGGGACCCCGGAAAAAAGTGACACAGAAACCAGAATTATAGAACGGTTTACGCAAAATTAATTATAGAACGGAAAAACTAATTATAGAACGAAACTGGTAAATGTGGGAAGAATGGGGGGAAACACAATTATAGAACAAACCAGAATTATAGAACGACGAAAAAATTAGGAGTAAGTTAAGATAAGTTTTTTTCATACCTTCCGAGGAAAACAGAATTATGGAACAACAGGGTACGGTAAATAACCGTACCTTCGTACTCCTCAACTTCGGTTCTATAATTTTGGCACCTCCCATATATATTATTTATCATATATCATATGTATATATGTATGGCAATTATACTAATATATATATAATATTACTAGATCATCTATTTTAGATAGATAATAGATATATATATATATATCCATAGCATAGCCTTAGCATATCCAGACCTTCCAGGAGGCCACCAAATGCTCCACGTAGCCACCCAGAACCTGGGATCTGTCTGGGATCCCTTGCGCCCCGGCATCGGTTTTTTCCAAGTTCCAACGTTGAAGAATCCCAAAATCAGACAAGAATCAGTTCCCATATGCATGGAGCATCTGGGGTTTGAGACTCTTAATGACTCTGAGTTGTCTTAGAATCTTATATAATTTATATACGTCAATTTCACTGTATTTGTTCAAATATGTTCAAATACAATCAACAACTGATTGCGAACATACTTGAACCCGGTCACAGCTTCAGGGAACTCTATATATTTATGTGCACGTAAATATATGACATGCGATGTTTTCCATTTTCCAGCCCCAAAAGATGGGACTCGAACCTTTGGTATCTATTCATTTTACAAGTAGGTAAGTATTTAACAAAGAATCCTGGCTGAATTTTGTTCACGAAACTGGAAAAGTAGGTCATTTTGAGAATATTTCCTCAATCCTAACCCGTGATTTATGGTGACTTCTCAGTGAAGTCGTGAGGACGTTCTAATTGACCCAGACCTTTAGGCAGATTTTCAGAGGGATCAGCTGACCATACCCCTATACTCTCCAGTAATCATAGTAGTCTAACATCATTACCCATGGAATCCATGCCCTGGCCCTATCTAGGATTATCTGGTCGGAGTAATGAAGTATTCTAACAGTTCTAACATATCTAGGTCAACGGTTTATCTTTGACTTTGACGAATGATATGTTCAAAAAAAACTACCATGTTTGATGCCCCCGCGCTACCTGTACAGCATTGGGCACCAGAAGAACATGGCCATTCTGAACGCCTGGCTCCAGCGGCTGGTAGAAATGGAGAAAAAATCGCGACCAACGGATCAGGTGGAAAAAGGGGTGTCTATATTTGGGATTCATCTCGAAAATTGCAATCTTTAAGGAAAATTAAAGGAAGCGTACCGTATCATGGTTATCACTGAATTTTTGGAAAGCCCAATTCTAGACAACACCATGTTTCATGCACGTCAGTAATTCAGACCATTGATTATTAGCAAAAACGTCAAGGTGACACCCAAGATTGCCCAAGATTCTGAATGGATATTTCTCCTTGACAGTCCTGCAACTAACTCTCCAGAAAGACTTAGACCGAACCCGGTCACGAATCAAACATCGAAAAACGAAAAAAAAACTCGACAGGCTCAGCGAGTTCTCCCCAATTTTTCCCCAGATTTTCCCATCCGATTTTCCCCAGGCAAAGTCATCTGAGTCGGCCGCACGCAAGGGTTCCTTGTTGCTGGAGTACAACAGCAACTTCGTCCCAGGCCTTAGTGCCCCGGCATCGCCGCCCCTATGACTGAGCTGAAGTCATGGTGTATCAATGTTTACCCTCTGGTAAACTAACATAGCTATTGAAAATGGGCCATTTATAGTGGATTTTCCTATTAAAAATTGTGATTTTCCATAGTTATGTTAGTTTACCAGAGGGTACATCCTATGACTGGTACCATCTGGTTATGACTAACAGTTCGCCATGGAGATTTTCCCCAAAACAGCCATGGTGGTTGATGTCGCTGGGAAAATCATCTATTTTGATCAGGGCCATTTTCCATGGCTATGTTAAATAACCAGAGGGTAGAATTTCCGCAATTCGTATACAAAACACCTGCAACAATGTTTCCAACATGTTTCCAAAAAGGGTTGAACCATGTTGAACATAGAAGTTCTCCTCGCCGGGTTCAGCCTTCTGTTGGGCCAACTTCGGTTCACTTCATATCTACTGACAACTACATACTTACATATTGGATCAAATATGATCATATCAAATCATCTGTATCAAACCCCAACAGCCCACGCTGCACACTGGGTCGATGTGTGTGTTAATCAAGAGTTGGGACTTCATATTGCCGTGTTGGTCATCGTCTGATATCTACGCCCAGGTCATGTGCGGTCATTTGGGTGTATTCACTGCATAGATTTCTGACTGAACCCATGAAACTATAGTATTAACACTCATTACTCAGCAATTACTCGATATTTCTGTGTCCCCTCATGTTGAGAACCCTTGCTCCCGCTGAATTCCCCGGCAGGGCTTGCCAGTAACATCAACCCCAATGGTGAAATCATGAAACATCGCTGTTCAAAAATCCATCCCGCAGCTGCGCAGCCTAGAGAGATGGTTAGATCATGTTAGATCCCGATTTTGCTTCCTGAAATCCTAATTTTTAGATGTTTGGTGCTGAAATCACAACTTTTCTCCCTGACTTTGTCAAGGTACGGAAGATTCACCGCCAAGGCTTTCACGCTGTCGAACTCGATCGCCTTTTTTAGGCGTGGAGCCAGGAGAGCTGTTTGGAAACCTTGCAGCAAGTGCCTGAATTAGACCCTACAAACCACGGGTTTCAATACGAAAATGATCTAATGACTTGGATGCTTTGGGGCTACCCCTCATCTTAAGAAGCCTCCATATTATATAATTACATATATGTACCGTTCTTTACATATTTACAACGGCATCAACTATATATTAAATATAAATATAAATATATATATATGTATGCCAAAAAAACAAGAATAATTTATCGGTATATAAACGACATGCACGAAAGAATACGTTTCACGTGATATGTTATAATATGTTACTCTTAAGATTTAAAAGGATATATGACATTCTATAACTATACATACACATATTTAATCATATATATATATGTCTATACATACATATATATATATATTATATTATCATATCTTATATACATATAGAATTGATAGCTCCGATATGGAAAAAAACGTCTGCGCCTTGAACTTTTGATCTCCAACCGCCAAGTCAAGCGCCAAGAGCCGCCACTTGCCGCCATCGAAGTCATCCTGGAACCTGTCGCGAATCGACGGAAAACCCATGGTTTTTTACCATGGAAAAAATGGAAAGGTTCTATCAAAGTTCACAAAAAAAAACAATTCTAGATCATTCTAGGATGGTTAAGTTTCCCCAAACATGCTAAAGTCGCGAACATAACAATTGTTTTTTTACAACCAAAGATCAACATTCCAGGCTGGTTTTACACATCAATTGGGCCATTCTTGAGGGTAAACCGATCAATTTTTGGGGACAAAAAATACAAAAAACACTCCAATGTCACCATGGCCTGATGTCATTGGTCATACATCATTGAAAAATAAGTGGTTGGAACCAGCATCACTTGAAGGCAAATTGATCTGGATTGATCAACAAAAGCTCTCCTGCAAAACCTCGGAAAGTCGGAATTACCCCCAAACATGGGTATCAACCAGAGAGTTGTAGGATGTTGCCGGCTCCTGGCACCCTTGGAGATGGCTATTAATAAAGGATGTTTCATATGTACACATACCCACATTACCATATTAATAATTTATCAAATGCTCACTGAATGTCTATCATGATGACCCACTACAAAAAGTAGTGATAGATGAACCCAAATAAACCGTTGGATATCCACAAATGATGGTTTATCATGGTTTATCATGGTTTTTCTACCATAAGCATGGGATATCATGGGAGATCAAAATCTTCATGACCACAGCAAATGGATATCTACCTGTGGACCCGCACTTAGTGGGCTGCGTGATATCAGCCACCTGCAAGAGGCGGTGCTGGGTATTATAATATCCTTGAGTGGGGTAGGTGTATGGGGGGTATATGAATATGGGAGGCTTGGGGAAATGAGGTTGGGAAGCTAACTGTTCTGACCATTGATACTTTGGATGGTGCTTCTCATTATTTCCTAGAATCACAACAAGTGAACAAATAAGGACAATAAGTTTTGAAGATGCGCATCCCGCTCGTGTGCTCAACAAGTTTTGGCATGTTTCCGGCCTTTATTGTCAAATCTTCGGTGAAACGGATGGTTCGCAGCTTGTTGCTGGCCTTTCTAGGTGAATCTTGGGTGAAAAAGTGAGACTTTAGACTTTGGCTTTTTTAGCTGGTGGCCCAGAAGAGCTACTAGCAGCTGTGCTGGTGGTAGCACCTTGCTTGTCCAACCTAGCCCTGTACTTGTCCACGCACTCCTGGATGAAGCTCAGTGAGGGCCTCATTGCTAAGTGGCTAAGGTGGACCACGCGAAAGGGAGCTGCAATAAACAAACCCCTGGTTAAACAAACCCCTGGTATCCTTCAAAACAATTAGATCAATTTGCTATCCATAGTCCCAGAATCCGCTTTTGGTCTGCATGCTTTGGCCGGGTTTTGGAATGAATCCAATACATGTGATCCAGAACCACGGCAAGAGCTTCGGTTTCACCCAGGTTCTCACGAGTACCACCAAACGTTTTGGCTTTGGACTCCTGCATGCCAGGCAAGCCACCTGAATGTGTGCTTATTTGGTTTGAAACTTTGAAAAGAATAAACCCCCACCCAACTGAACAACTACAAAACGAAACACTTAAGAGAAACAATTATTTAAGACCCTCACAATATGTTGAACCAAAGTGCATTGGTAGAATCCTTGGTACCTGTTCTTGTGCATCTTCAGGTAGACATAGGGGAGAGTGTTCTTGCCCGGCAAGAGGCATCGCAATTCTGCTGGGGTGATTGTGCTCCATGTCCTGCTGCTTCCTTCGTGCGCAACTTTTGGAGCTGCCTTCTCCACAAAGATGTGCTCCTTCTCAGGTTTCTCGGGTTCTGCTGGAGCTGGATTTGGTTCTGGAGGTGGCGTGCCAGAATCCTTCTCCTTGATTTTGTCCTTCTTGTCTTTCGCCTTCATTTCTTTCTCCCTGTCTTGTTTCAATGTCTCAGCCATCTCTTTGACTCTCTGAAATGCACCCATGTTGTCCTGGTCGAGTTGGGCCAAGTATTCGAAAATGTCATCTGGACACTCTTTGCTGTCCAGCTTCACTACTGAACCTCCTGCAAGTTTGGCAGTCAATGCATCCCTGTACTCTTGAGATGCATCAGCGAAGAAGAAGTCCACCAATGCTTTGCACTTGTCTGCTCTGAGAAGCCCACCTGAAGACCCCGATCCGGTCTTCGGCAAAGGTACAGAATTGTTGCGGATGACTTGGTCAATCTGCTTCACATTCTGGAACACAATGCCATGCGCCAACGCAGCCTTTACCAAAGACTGCTCCCCACCAACCAACCTCCACAACATTCCAGACCCGGCGGCTTGCTGGATCTGAGCTGGAAGTGCGCAAGGTGGAAGCACTTCTGTTTCCACATGTTGCCATGGAGTTTTGGCCGGGTTGGTGGAGTAGTTGAAGTAGAACTGAGGATCATCGGAGGCCGTAGGGTCCAAGGAGAAATAGTACTCCTTGGCTATGCTGCTCTGCAGGGTCTTTGTTTTTGGTCTGACAGGTTCTTAGTCTTGGGGGATGCTGCAGATCGAATGCTCCGAAATTTACTCATCGCCAATATGAGGGGGCACCCTGAAGTGTTTCAGCCCGCTCTATATAAATATATAAGTAGATAATGTTTAATTGGTGATTGATGGTTAGTCAAAGTTATTGGCCATGCTCTTGTGATAAGGCGCTTGGCTCCAGCAGTAACTCAGTAAGAAAAGCCAGTACTGGAACTGGAACTGAATCAAAACAATGAAAAGCACACTCTGTCATTTGTCCTGGAAATCGAAAACGTTTTGTCCTTAATAGATGAACCAGTGTCTGTTTCAGAGCCGTGAGGGACTTGGTGCACTTTCAGGGGAACACAGAGGCCAGTACACACGTTGAAGCCCAACGCCATCATGTAGGCTCCAGATTCCCGGTTGAAGTAGATCTGACCGGGCACCAGAAACATACCTGATCAGCGAGCAGCTTTGGGCACTGAGTTTCCAATTTGCACTGAAAGTAATAGTTTGTAACCCAGCACATTCAATTCCCATGATACTCTGATAACCTTTGATGATATATTGTTTCTAGGGTACCAACACATGGGAAAAACTGAGAAGTGAAGCCCTGCCTTGCCAGCAAGTGTTTTGACCTTCAAAGTTGGAGTCCAAGTCCTGGACGAAGTATAAAGCAACTGCCGCAGAATCTCTCTGGGCCATGTGCGTAGCTGGTTTCCAGTTGGACTGGATGTCCTTTGGCCTGGGGAGAGCCTTTGGAAGAGGAGTCCTGGCTGAATTTCACTGCTGTTGTGAAAGGATGAAACTGCTTTTTGGAGCCACCAAAGTACCCGGATAATATCACATGTGCTGAACGCAGGGCTCAAAACTTTGTCAAAAAATTGTCATTAATAGGGTAGCAACAAGCTCCGTTGAATTGAAGTGCGAAGCGGGGGAATTAAGTTTAAGTAAGCACATACAGAGAAAGAATCCAGCACTGAATCACATCCAGGAATCTTCGCCATTCGCATGAGCGATTCCACCGATGCCTTCAAACCTTTGAAAGCAGGAACTGCTGTGAAGTAGTTCTCTAACTTGGTCTTCCACTGTTGCATGCCCCCTGTTTCGGTAAAGGGACTCGAAGAAGCAGAAAACCACAAGTGATAGTTGTCAATCCTCTTCGACTTGCTACCCCGGCACACATCTTGCATGTGGTTGAAACATTTTTCCATGGCATCCGCTGTTGTCGAACTACCAGAAATCATCAGGTCAGCTGTCGCTTGAAGCTCACTGTTGTTTGGTGTCCATCCATTGTTGTTCCCCTCAGCCATGATCTCTCTGCTCACTTGCTGCCTTGTGAAGATCGCAAGGTTGAGTAGCTTGCTGAGCCCTGCGTTGCTCAAAGGGTTCGCCTTGACTTGCTGCTCGGCTGCAATGACGGCATGGGTCAGTTTCTCCATAAAGCCCAAAGAAGCATTGGCCATCCCATGGCCTGGGTTCACTACACCTGCTAGAGCATGAGGGAAGGTCACTGAAAACATCAGTTGACTCCAGATTTCTTCTGCGGCTAGATTCAGAGCAAAGGTTTGAGCCATGTTGACCAGCTCTTTCTCCTCTTTGAACCACTCTGCATCGCAAGAAGAAGGGTCGATGGGAGCATCCAAATCATCAGTCAAATCTAGAGCTTCTGCTAGCTCTTTGCTGTGGATGCATTGGAGCAACGGTGTGATTTCATGCCTGTACCACCTGTAGGCGCTTCGTTCTGAAGCAAACCGTCTCATTCCTTTCTGGCCTTCCTTCATCTCTCTCAGCGCATGTGCAAAATCATAGTGCACATATTTTCCTATGATGCAGATGAGTTTCAGCCTCAACTGCAGACCTCTATCTTGCAAGCACTTGCCCACCAAAACGGTTGTGTTCGATTCTGCCCGAAGCTTGTAGAACTCTTTCTTCGTTTTGGGCTCAGGAGCTGGCGCCTCATCAGCGCCCTGATCATCACCACCGCCATCGTCCTCTTGGAAGACCTGAAGCGATTCAGCGAGCGAGCGCTTGGAATGAAATAACTTCTTGGGACTTGGTAAGGTTAATGTTTGGCTATGCATATTTCAACTTTGTTGGGTTGCGGATGCCTTTGTACAGCCGACATGGTCATATCCTTATTATCATATGAACGGATAAAACCAACTTTACCCAGGAGGGTCGGCTCCAGGCAATAGGGAAGCAGATTTTAGACTGCACACTCAAATCTTGTGAAAATAAGCTTCGGTGGTATCCCCAACAGCTGCAACATTTTACTTTTACAAATCTTTTTGAAGCGTCTGCCAAGCCAAGCGCTGGACACAGCTCAGCTGGGGTTCCGTGAGTTAAATGGCCGCAAATCCTGTTGAACCTGACCCGGCTCTGCACCGAAGCCTCCCAAACCTTCTCCGGAACCTTCTCCGGAACCTTCTCCGGAACCTTCTCCGGAACCCTGTTGACTCTGCACCGAAGCCTTCCAGACCTTCTCCGGAACCTTCTTCGGGTACCTTGTTGAACCTGACATGGCTCTGCACCAAAGCCTCCCAGACCCGGAACCCTGTTGACTCTGCACCGAAGCCTTCCAGACCTTCTCCGGAACCTTCTTCGGGTACCCTGTTGAACTTGACATGGCTCTGCACCAAAGCCTCCCAGACCTTCTCCGGAACCTTCTCCGGAACCCTATGGAACCTGACCTGGCTCTGCACCAAAATCTCCCAGACCTTAACCGGAACCTTATCCCGAACCCTGTTGAACCTGACCTGCCTTTGCACCGAAGCCTCCAAGAGCTTGTCCGGAGCCTTCTCCGGAACCCTGTTGAACCTCACCTGGCTCTCTACCAAAGCCTCCCATCCTTCTCCGGAACCTTCTCCGGAACCTTCTTCGGAACCCTGTTGAACTTGACTTGGCTTTGCACCAAGGCTTCCTAGAACCTTGTCCGGAACCTTCTCCGGAACCCTGTTGAACGTGACCTGGCTCTGCACCAAAGCCTTCCAGATATTCTCCGGAACCTTCGGAACCTTCTCCGGAACCTCGTTGAACCTGACCCGGCTCCTGCACCAATGCACACCGGAGCTGTTCTGGGATGAATACCCCATTAGCTTACGCTGTTGGGAAAAAATAACATGAAGAGCCAAGCTGCAATAGGGGCAGCCTTGCCAGTGTAGGCCAGCACTGCATCAACCACCTGACCCATGATAGTCCATGTCTCGACGAGGTGCTTGAAAGAGTCGAGCATCTTGAACCAGAGCTTATTATTCACCTTGGCTGCAATGCACTTTTCAAAAAATATATATACAGGACCATGTTTCCCAAACCTCATGTTTGGAACTGCACACAGGGGTGTCAAAACCAATGGCTTGAACCAAATGAAATTGACCTAAATCAGCTTAGGGTCAAAATCGGGTCTGCGATTGAAAGACTCCAGGAAAAAGCGCTCAACAGTTTCACCAGTGAGTACGTGCTCTGAGATTCCTTGGTCCCTTGCTATCTGTTCAGACTGTTCCTCAAGCCATTCCTGCGTAGCCACATCCCTAATTCTCATGTGTATGGCTTCCTGGGCAGTGAACTGCAATGTTCCAGCTTGGTAAGGACCATGACTCCAGTTGCTGATCGTAGTGCCTTTCAAACAAGTCACCTCCAACCCGCTGTTGTGTAGTGCAGCACGGAAATTGTTCCATTTTCTATGGGCACTGTCTGGTTCCTGGTAGCCTCTCAGCCCAATATGGTTTACGTCCCACAAATACCAAAAGGCTTTCTGTTGTGATTTCTCTTCATCACTTACCTAAGGCTGGGAAGGATCTCTTCAGTAAAATCAGGTCAAAACCAACCAGATCAAAGTGGCATGCCTTATTGCCCAAAAGGATTCCCTTAATCAAAGTAAAGATACAAGTTTGAGAAATGGCCTTGTGAAAATGGAGGGAGGCGGTGTATCCAAAGGATTCCCAGGGAAAAGTTTGCCAGCATTGTCTGGCATGAAGAAGAGAAGGTTCTTCCTTGTCATGGCCAGCATCTGGTGATTCAGTGCCCGAATCATCACCTCAGAAAACTTATGTGGACTACGAACATGTTGTTTGATATTGTGGCTGATCTGCAGCTGATTTATTCTGTTTATGGTGCCCATAAGCTGTGAATGTTCTTAGTCATCCAAGTCAGCAACATGATGAGATTAAACAGCCCGGTCCGACATACCTGAAACTCAGAAGCGTGCGTAGAAGTGCCACGCCGACTTTCGTTTGAAAGTGCCCCTTAGCACAGCAAAGCAATTGTCAGCGCCAGGAAACCCTATTCTGAATGCAAGCTGTTTGAGAACATCCGTCTTAAATAGCACGATGACCCACGTCACTTAGTAAACGACTTTGCTACTTCCAACTCTGTATAGCATTGCTCTGGGTCGAGGTTCTGCAAGACCTCAAGTTCAACTTGGACTCCACAAATGAGAAGGAGGAGCGGCAGCAGTATGGGATTTTATTTCGGGGGTCATGTCATGGCATGTGAAGGTGGAGTGGAAGTGGGTTCATTGACATCTCGCTGACAAAACCAAGCAAATCGCAAGTTCGTTTTTCTTTCGACTCTGGCAATTCTGACTTCTGCTGCTATGGAAGTGAAAAGGCGCCCGAACATCATGATTACTTGACCCAGGCTGTCAGATTAATGATTGTAGCATTACTAAGCCGAAAGTCTAGCTTATGATTGACACAGGCAGGTGCCCTTCCAAGCAACGCAGCTGCAACATGCCAAGTCTGGCTCGCCGTCAGTCACGTACGGACTGAAAAACCGGAGCCATCAGCAAATTTTGGGTCCTTGTTTCTCAGGACCTGAAGGCTTCACGTCTCACTCGAATCCTTGTCCTCAGAGGCTGGAGTTGGTGACTCCCTGCGGTTGGGCCACAATCAAGTGGTATATGTGGTCTCGTGATACTGTGTCCCGCTTGCATTCTGCGTGGGGTTTGTAGGCCCACATGAAAACGTCCAAGTTCAAAATCCTTACTCCTCCAAACTTGTGCAGGAAAAAAGAATATCGCTACATACTTACTGATTTACAAAAAGGCGAAAATATACATATATATATATATATAGTGAAATAACACCATTTAATGCATACATGTGAACATCCATCCACCCATCCATCCAACCATCAATCCATCCATCCATCCATCCACCAATCCACCATCCACCAATCCACCATCCACCCATCCACCCATCCACCCCCCACCCACCCATCCATCCATCCATCCATCCATCCATCCACACCCAGCCAGCCATCCACCCACCCACCCATACTTACATACTTATTTGCCACAGATTTGCATACAACAAACATAAATACGTGCCTAGCTACATGCATACCATACCGTACAGTACATACCCTCACGTGTGGTGTAAAGACGCATGCGTATATTCGAGAGGTGGAGAGCTTCGGGGGCCCCATGGAACAGTTGGATAGATTTGGGGATCCCTGTGCTTAAACAGTTTGCATTTACTGGGGAGCCAAACTTGTTCTTCCAAAGTTCGTGGGACCAACATAAAATGGTTGACTGGGATTGTACTGGCAGTGGTCCTGTAGTGATGTTGGAAAAAAATTAAACTGATTAGCGCTTTTTCTTCTCGGTGGCCCCCAGCCCCCGACGCGCCCCAGGTATTTCAGAGGGATTCGAAAATTTCCACAATTTTTCAAGGGATGCCCCAGCACTCCCTAGCACTCCCCAGCACTCCCTAGCGCTCCCTAACCCTCCCCAGCCCTGCTAAACAGCTCCCCTCCCCTAACCACTCCCCAGCCACTCCCCAACCACTCCCCAGCACTCCCCAGCACTCCCAAGCACTCCCCAGCACTCCCTAGCACCCCCCACCACCTCCCCAGCAGCCCCCAGCAGCCCTCGCAGCTCCCTTGCAATGCATTGGAGTCAAGGCTCCTTCTCTTCATCATCCTTTTTGTCACCGGGCTCTGTGGGATGAGGTGGTGGGTAAGGACGATCATTTTCAGGAGTCTCAGACCACCTTGCTTCCCAAGTACGCTCAGCTGGTTCAGCGGGGGTTGGAACAGGAGCTGGTGTCACTGGAGTAGTGGCATTCCCTGGCCTTGGATAGCTGACCATTAGGACCTTAGGATTCTGATTACTTACCATGGCACCCCTGACCAAGATACTTGAAGGAACACATCTACACCCAGAAAAAAATCAATAGTAGGAACTTGACCAATCAGATTAGGCACGGGGGTGGGGTTTCGGTCTTCTTATCTTCTTTCTTACGGATCAATGTTTCTGTCCCCGACAATGGATCAACCAAGTAGTAGTCCCCATCCCTTTCAATAACTGTAGGAACTTCTGGGCCCGCATGTGCCGGAGCGATTGGGGGATGGGGCTCCACTCCAGCATGGCCAGCCAGAGGCATGTGAGGGGCTGGTAGTGCTGGAACCATCCCTGGTAGAAGTGGCGGCGTTGGTGTCGCGGATGTCACTGGCACTGGGGGTGGAGGCTGAGCTGCGAGAACCCATTGCCCATTCTGATAAACAACTTGTTGACCATTAATGATTGCTGTGGGCGCAGCCGAAGGTGAACTTGGGTTGAAAGATGGAACCAGCATTGCCTGTGAGGCTGCCTTTGCCTGCTGCCTCTGCATAGCTCTTTGTTCTTCTTCTTGCAGGAGCCGCTGAATGATCGGCATCACATGCTCCTGGGCCCCTTAGTGTGGCACGTGGGGGGGCATCTTAAAGTTTCGCTTGGAAGGATATGATAATGCAATCAAACCATATAGTTTGAGAACCCAAGGGCCCCATTCAAATATTCGTTTGGTCAACAATGTTCAAACCCAGCCACTTTCCCAAACATCCTCCATGCTCAGAGTCTCCGCAGAAAGCGGACGGTTTCGTCGGTCGTACTCGTTGGCCAGAATGTTGAGCAGCTCGTCTTTGTCATGCCTCATTCTGAATCTATCAAACCCGATGATGATGACACTGATGATTACTGATGACCGTGATGACCATGATTGAAAGTGAAGTTGACGGCGATGATGATGATGAAGATGATGATGATGATGATGATGATGATGACGATGATGATGCTGATGATGATGGGGGTGGTGGTGATGATGATAACGGGAATGGTGACGATGATTTCGATGATGTTGATGGTGAAGATAAAGATGAACAGGAACGTGAAACTAGCACGGGCTTAAATATCTATCCAGTGTTCAACCAGGTCACGTTGGTAGAGATGCATCTGGGGATAGCCCAAACATCATCCATAAGTAGCACATTAAGACCTCACGGCTGGCCCTTCCAAGATAGGCCCGGTTTGCCCAAACACGGTCAACTGACTCGACCCAGTCCAAGATGTGTTGCACCTAAGTTGGAAGAAAGAATGAAAGGGTTGGGGGGGTGAGAGCTTTGGACCATGTTCCACACTAAAGGGATGAACCAAAGCCCACTACTCATCCCCGAGCACACATCAACCCAGGAACTGATGCACCCCAACAGTTTGTGATCCTGCTGCTGTACCTTTGGACAACATGCCTGCGCCCTGTAGATGAAGCTGGACGCTTGGTTCCCCTTCCAGGTGGAGGCTGCATCCCCAAGCCAGCACTTGGGCACATTGCACCAAACCTTGGCAGGCAGCCATGACATGTGTTTGATCTTGGCATCGAATTTGCAAAAAATATTGCAATGGTAAAAATTAGTCAGTTAAGACCCCATACCCAAACAATCTTCAATACCAAGAAGCATTGAAGGCGGGGTGGGCACCAAAGCCGTGCAAGGACCCAGGTTGGCAGTAGAAGGACCAGTTGGCAATGGAGGGCCTCTAGTAGCAGTACCAGGAGGTAGGCATGGAACAGGTGGCATAGCAGGTCTTCCAGCAAAGGCTTGGGGGAAGGGTGCAACTGGAGGACGAGCCAAACCACGACCAGCCGCAGTGGGTGGACGGCCCCCAGGCATTCCAGGAGCAGGAGGATTCGTGGGAAAAGCAGGCAAACCAGACCCAGACCCTGCAGGTGCCCCTGTAGGTGTGCCCGAAGGTGGTTGCCCCACAACTGCAACCACGCAGTAGCAGAAGGCCAAGGAAAGCGAGAGAGAAGCCATCAAAGCAAAATATGAGAGACAGCAAATCTGGCTACTGATTACTTGTTCCTTTCAAAGCGCTGCAAGAAAGCATAAAACTGTGATCCAAGCCAAGAGTTGTGCTCTGAGACAATGTGTAAAAAACACGATTGGTCATCAACGTTTTGGAACTTTACAAATCTTTTGGCCTCAGCGGTTCTGCTGCAGAATGTCGGCTACAAATTCTCCACGTGAAACAAAAAATCTGATTATCTGTGCTGCTGGCCTTCCTGTGCGAGTTGGCCAGCTTCAGCAACAGTAGTCCTTTTTCCAAAACTCACCAGGCCTACCAATTCGGCCAAGCAAACTGATCCCAAGTGCATCGAGTTTCCGATCAGGCTTGAAGCCCTGTGAGCATCTCTGAACTGAATCGGAGGGGTGGCCATGGTTTCGCAAACACTACTGTCTACAGGTAGACCTAGACAGCTCAACTTCTCTCGAACTGTCATCCATCTTTTTTTTGAGGGGATCCAGTAGAACCCCTTGTTGTTCCTAAAGCAAGGGATCTTCTGTGACACTGCGCTCCATGTGGTTGCGTATCCTGGGTTGTCACCCAAGAACATCACCAGGTTGCCGTCCTGGGTAGGGTCTTGGGAGAACTTGGACCAGTACTCACGGCACAATATGTCAACCACGCCCTTCTCACGAGGCGTAAGCAGGTAGGTGAGGTCCAAGCAACCCTCAGTGATCAATGGCCGTGGGACGATTAGAAATTTAATTCCCGTGACGCTTCCATAAACACCTCTAGCCTACTATACGAAATGCTGGCGCACTTAAACGAAGAATAATCTTGATAAATATATAGGTCAAAGATTCGTCTTGGAACAGTAGGTTGCGTGTTGCTGCTGTCGTCATGGCTTCGCAAATGACCTCCCTGTCGGTCGCACAAAAATAGTCTTTGGGTGTTGTGCGAATGGTTTTCCTCAAAACCCTTGCCAGCTCATGGTATAAGGCGACAGGATCATGAAGAACTACCCCTGTCTCCTTATGAAGAAGGTACACATAGATCCTTGGCCTTGAAACACCTGAGTGACCACAGTCACAAGCATCATTTTCCACCCACCACATGTAGTAGTGCTCCTTGAACATATCGTAGATCACGTGCAGCGGCGGGCCCTTGGGAGGCATTTCACAATGGAAGTTTCAAACTTGTCAACCGTATCGAATCTAAGAATGACTAAACAATTTCGACATGACTGTCTGGACCCACGTCTTTGTTAGACGACTTTAGCTAAGGATCCACTACATTTTCCAAGATGATGAGGACGGTCTTTTGGCGAATATGGCGTTCACACCATGGAATGTAACATGTAAACCTGGCATCCTCTTGCTGAAGTCGGTTCCCTGCTTGGCTGTTGGGCTGGCAAGGCATTCCAGCAATTTCCACATCGGATGTGTTTTCAAGACTACACATGTTCCTGTGGACAACGCACCACTGTGTCCTCTTCAGCGTTGATTTTCTCACAGCGAAGAACCGTCCAGCAAACGAAGTTTCACGATCAAGAACACCCTGGGGAACCATGTCGTTGATGTCCTGCTCATGTCGCTGATGTTAAAGTCATACCTAAATTACAGATTGGTTTCTTGTGATTGTCACCAAAATTATCCAAAGTACTCATTCGATGTCCAAAGGTCCTCAAAAATGCATGGAGCTGGATCCGATACTCCAGTGACTTGGTTGCACCACAGGTGATTGTCCAAGATGACCTGGTGAATCGGAGTACTGAACTCCTTGGCTTGGTCCGAGATTGAAAGGGATAAAATGCAAGGCAACAGGTTATACTAGCCTAGCCCTAAGTGGTACGAACGGTTAGCAGTAATTGCATTACAGTAATTATGTTCCGTCTAGTGTCGTGGCAGGACTTGCACTTGATATCAACGGGCAAATCAGAAGAAGCCCTCACAGTGGTTTGTATGACTGCCAAACCCATTTCGGCAGTGTAAGCTCCGGTGCACGAGGAAGAGCTCACTGAAGCGTTGCAAAGGAGGCTAGCCTGAGCTGCCAGCGCAATATCCAGATTCAGTTGAGTTGTAGTTGGGTTGGGCAGCTGCAGAAAAAACATATAATATAGTACGTTAAACTTGTTCGTGATAAATTCATCTTAGAAACCAACATCGAATCCCTGCCCAGCCATTGCCAGAGTAGACTCCAAGCGCACTGAACCAGCCTTCCGGTCTTGGCAAGACAACTTGGGTCATTGCGTAGGTCCTGGCCAAGAGGATCTTGTTCTATGACCTTTGGAGAGCAAGTTCACTAGAGTTTTGACTGAAATGTTTCCAAATTTCTAATGGTCAACTGATTACCCATGTTTTTGGTATTGTCACCAATCAAGGGTCCTGAAACGGAGACAGCGATACTGAACTTGATGAAGATGGAGGTGCGTCGGACGCAGCTTCACTTACTACGGTCAAACTCATCATGGAGTCTGGGGGCCCATCAGACTGTGGAGGGCCCGGCATTGACATGGCACAGCTACCTAAAAAACAATTCTATGGGTCGGTGCTCACGTGCCTATTTCAAGGGCCAAATGAGCAGGTTAAATGTTGGTCTGGTTGACACATGACACATTCCAATACTCACCATTTACTTATGCTGGTTCTCTGATACTGCTAAAATAAAAACATCGCTCCTCTCACCCTACTGAGCTCAACACCAGTGGTGGGCCGTATGCGCCTGTATTGAGCCCTGGACTCCACCAGAAGAAAAGCTCCTGAGATAGACGAACATGGGAGTGCAATTAAATTATTGCCAAGTACACGCACGCACACACACACACACACCCGCACACACACACACACCCACACACGCACACACGCACACACCACACACCCACGCACCACAAACCCACGCACCACACACCCACGCACCACACCCACACACCCACACACAACACACACACAACACACAACACACACACAACACACAACGCACACAACACACACACAACACACACAACACACACACAACACAGACAACACACACACACCACACGCAACACAACACACACACACACAACACACAACACACACACACACAACACACACAACACACACAACACACACACAACACACACACAACACACACACAACACACACACAACACACACACAACACACACACAACACACACACACACACACACACACACCACACACACACAAACACACACAAAACACACACACAACACACACACAACACACACACAACACACACACAACACAACACACACACACACACACACACACACACAACACACACACACAACACACACACACACACACACACACACACACACACACACACACAACACACACACAACACAACACACACACACACACAACACACACACACCACACCACACCACACCACACCACACCACAACACACCCACACAACACAAACACACAACACACACACAACACACACCCACACATTGCAGGGAACTGCCCAAAAACAATGTTAGTCCAAGCTCAGCTGAGTTTCAACCGGCCGTTTTGCCATTGAACTTCCATCCATAAAGACCTTAGCTAGCTAAAGGAAGTAAAGTACAGGGTTTGAGTATGGGCTGCAGTCCGTTCACATCTTGTTTGCACCATAAGTTGCTTCTTTGAAATTCTGAGCACCTAGCGTGCCAATGGTTCACATCAGATGCAGCATTCTGCACCAGCGAGTGCAGAATTGTCATCTCTCTGCAAGCAACGGTCGATGGCTTCAAAGTGCGCTTGGCGTAGGCGTTCCCACAACCATGGATGGCTCTAGCCAGCGTGGTTTCCTGGGCCGGCGATTGAGTTTAAATTGGAAAATGGGATTGGCTTTATTTATATATAGATTTGGTAGGCTTAAGGTCTAACAGTAACAGCCCGTGCAGGGTATGAACCACATGGAATAAATTTGGGGTGCTTATAATGGAAAATGAACATTACCCAAAAAACATCCAAGAATCTTCCCTCTCACGTACTGATTTCTGCACTCTGAATTGCGTAACCAGAAATTCTTGGATCGGTGTTCGTTTGAAAAGGCTCTTGGTTGGTAGTTCCCCTTGAGTAATCTCAGCTAAGCAGTTGCAGAGACGCCCTGCCAGAAAAGCCATGGATTTTAGACCATGTAGTCGCAATAGGGGCTGCTTCTTGAACAAGTTCCCGTCGAAACAAAGCAACAAAATGTGTGCCAGCTTTGGGTTTTCGAAACTGAAGTCTAAAAACCATGCCTTCTCAAACATGCCCACACTGTTGCAAACATCATAGAGCCATCCCCTAGAAGCTTCTGGAGTAAAGAATAGGCTACCATCCACCAATGGTGATTCCACCGAAACTTGCATCAACGCATTGTCCCCAATTCTCACCCATGGAAGCTGCACCCCTAGGGTACTCACCATGTCCACCACCTGCACGAAAGAGGCCGCAGCCTTTCCCATCCAGTCAGACCTGACCCTTTGAACGGAACAAGCGAGCAGTGCAAAGAAAAGGGAAACAGGGATGAGTAGCTGGTTTGATAGGGTCTCTTCGCGTGAAGCAGTTAAATCTCTGAATGACTTGAAACCGGTGGGTACCAGAATGTTGTTCCACATCAAAGAGTGTGTTTTTTGAACATCTTCTAGCCACTGTGACTTCCACCTTTTCACATTGTCCTTGTCATCTTTGTTGGAATAAATCAAACGCATGCACTCCCGCAGCACCAAGTGGGGTTGGTCATTTTCTACGAAGTAGACCGAAAGAGTGTTGTCCCCAAAGCGCCATGATTTCACGGAGCTAACTTCAACTGACATTGCTGAGGGGTTCTCGGGCCTAAAACGGCATTGGGATACTCTTCAAAGTCAACCACTTTGTTTTCCAGGAGTTCAAGGGAAGCTTGGTATTTCTTGGGGATGTTTTTTGGGGGAGCCTTAAGGAAGCTTATAGCAGTGCTGGGGAAAGCCCTAAAACATCCCTAATCCTCAGAACACCTACCCCTGATACATATACCCTCCTTAAGGATATTATAAGGGTAGGCTGTTTCAACTTTGATTCCTCAAACTTGGATGGTTTAAGTTTGTTTAGGTGTAATTAAATGTATGTAGAATGTAACAAACATCTGCGTTGAGAATAAACTATTTTTATAAGTTCATTTGACGCATGCGGACAAACGGATGCTGATGATGGCCATGATGATAGATTAGTGATACCGCGCAAAGTCTACAAATTAAGTCCCTTAAGCCGCCCAGATTGGCCGACATCGCAGTTGCAGCCGCATGCCTTTTGTAGCTGCACCATGTACTGCCCGGTCCTCAGCGTGGAGGCATAAGTTGAGAAAACAAAACCAGACGTGGTATGATGTTGTGATATGTCGAGGACGAGGACGAGGACGGGGATGATGATGACGATGATGATGATGATGATGATGAGGATGAGGATGAGGCTCTCACATCTTTGACGCGCTCAATGACTGAACTTGCTGCGGGTTCCAGAGATGCTTTTGCCCGTGTAGGAATCGTTGAAATCGATGACATTTCAGCAATGCAGTTTTATCCTACCGTAGGATCAGCCAACGCCTGGTTGATTCTGATTGAGCATTTCCAAAAAATCAGGCAGAGCTTTTGATTGCACTGCTGTGGACAAAGTTTGGAATATTTTGGAATGCATGAATCTATTGTTCAATGTCCTTTTGGTAAAAATAGAGTAATAGAGGGGCCGGTGTGGTATACCATCTATCATCATTTACCTGTTGTTGAAGGGGTAAACAAACCCCTCTATTAATCAACCAACCAATGGCAAAAGGACATCTACGGTTCCCAGAGCCTTACATGTCAATTTTGGCCCACACCGAAGAGTCCTAGCCGCCTTCCTGAGGCTCCCTACGGTACGGTCCCGGAAGACATCCGCGCCAGCTCCTGCGTTCGAACCGCTGCTACTGATTGGTGGATTCCCTTCGTCCCAATTACTCTCACTTGTACATGTTGTACACGGGTGCATCTAAAAGAGGGGTATACTGCGGAACAACCATTTGATATTGGAAAATCATTTGGACTATCGATAAAGCGTTGGATTTAAGGGTGTCCCATTGATAAAACCACACCAAAAATACGATCAAGCCAGTGTAAACGCAAACATCTGGATGGAACCTAAACATACACATGTTCAAGTTTCAAGTTGTGAAGCCACCAAGCAGCCACAAACAAATATAATATCCAAGCCAAGTAACTTGAATGCCTTGCAGGGCAAGGTGCGGTGCTGATATTGCTGAATGATTTTGAATGATGCATTCCCATCAGCTACACTGAAGTGGTTCAATGTGGTAGATTTCCCTGTCACTTCATCAAGAAACCTTTGCGTTACTGTTAGAAACATGATAAAATGCTGCGGTTCCACATGCAGTCCAGAACTGTGGGTTTGTCTTCTCTGCGGCCTGCAATTTGGTGGTATTTGGTGGTTTTGGCTGCACCCAAAACTCATCCAACCATATCCAACCCGTATACGAACCTGGGCAAAATACATAGGACATAGAACAGCAAACAGTCAGTCATAATATGTTATTATATTTCCGAAATCTACTTAACACCTCTATTCGAAGGGTTCATGGGGCACCACTTGCTACCCTGGATCCATCCCACGATGTAAGAAACTTACTGCTGTGCCTAAACGCATCAAACATCAGAAAGCATCATAAAACCATGACCGTAACTTCAACCCCCTCAACCCAACAAAACATGAAGCTTTCCCTCATCCTCAAAGTTTCTTCGTTACCCAGCCCAACACTCAATATCTCAATTGCCCCTTTGGCTCCTTGGGCAGGAGGCTGTTGTGCTTCAACTTGCGAAGATCCGAATCCTCGCCCCAAATTGGATGACTGTAGACCACTCTCAATTCACGTCACTGTCCTTACATGAGGTAAGCCGATGGAATCTCAATGATTGTTGCTTGCATCAGCCAAATCGCCTAGGAGTTTATCAAAAAACTGGATTTATCATTGATTTATCATGGTATACCCAAAACTTGCAATTTTGAAAGAACAGGAAAAACAGATAAACCGTTGCAAATTCCAGGCCCCATCATTCAACAAAGCCGCTGGCCTTGATGTACTCCTCCACATCCTTCCGTCCTAAAGAGTTGGCCTGGCTTGGTGAATGGAGGTGCCTAGATCCCAACTAGCAACGATCGTAAGCCAACATAGACCCTGCCAGGCGTTGGAAGATGAGTTTCCGTCCTAAAAAATGGTGATTTGTCAAGGTCCAACTGTTAACTTACTTAAGAGGGCAACTACATGTAACTACTGTATAAAATCCCGTGCCCCATCTTGCCCCAACATAACCCCCGAAACCTTGACAGAATGGACTAATGGATAGAATCATGGGCAGATCAGAGGAAACACCCTCATCGTCATGGTTTCTCAACCTGGGTCGGGCAGAGCAAATGATCTTTTGCCAGGGGCTTTTTGTTGGGATGATTTTGGGGATGAATGTGCAACCTGTTGTGACACATCTCCCAAAAAAGACCCCGATGATCGATGATGTTCCAAACGCCATCTTCATCCATTATCCCGATGAGCTGACTTCCCCCAAATCTTCGCACTGGCGCCTGTTCTGTGATCTCTCGCTTGGAAGCATCAGTGAGCTCAATGCCCCATGCAGAACTGCAGGGGGAACTGGGACGGATAAAAAAAGGGCATGGGTCCAAAAGTAGACCTTCCAAAATTGGTTGAAGGGATGCATTTGCTAGCTTAACCAAAAAACACATGCTTCCTGCAAACCGTTCCAAATCAATCCATTGAGGTAGCCAAGCATGAGATGAACAATACAAACACGAACTTACTAATCTGTGGCGCCCGTAGCAATACCTATTTGAATTGTTCCCTAGGCCCTAGATGCCCTAGTCAGTCTGTTGTCACTTGGGATCAGCGTCCAGGATGAAACACCACAAACATATTGAAACACGACCGGAAGATCAAGAAGTCTCAACCGTAAAATTGTGTGAGCCAACAAACAAATGCGTTTTTTTTTCAAAACCGGTATTCCTATGTTGACAACTGGTTGATCCTCATAGGCTCCCTATGATTTAATGACCATATCTTGGGGGGCCATAGCCCATTCTCAGACAGGGTATGACAGGGTCCATACCCCTCAGACACACCGAAATATCATCAAGTATCATCATATCCCATGATATCGCTATCACAGTACCAATGCATCCACATGTGCAGTATCAGTTTGTCTGGAAATAGGGTACCCAAAATCCTATGGTTTATCATCGGTTTCCATGGCTAAATGCCGCTATCATCATCATGATGCTATATTATTGGTATACCTCATTTCCAGACACATAGTCAACCATTTAATCATTAACCAGAATTATCTTCCAGCATTTCCAGACACATCATTTAACCATAACACACCCATTTTAACTGGTTGGTGGTTTTAACCATCTTAAAAAATATTAGTCAATGGGAAGGATTATCCCATATATTATGGAACATAAAAAATGTTTGAAACCACCAACCAGTTAACCATATGCTCAATGATCAAATTTCTGTTAGATCAACTGGTCCGAAACTTTCCGCCGTCGCCTCAGGAAATTGAATTCTGCCATCTCCAAGTGACACCATGGACCGAGGATGAGTCAAAACCAAACGGTACCCGGATGGTACCCTAAGTTCTAGCTGGTTAATGGATGTGTATTCCCCAAAATATGATAAAGACATATAATAGATGACAATAGGTTTTGACCCATCCCCAAATGTTGTGAACATTGGTGGCACTTAAGCATCACTTAGGTTCAAAGGACACCGTGGACTGAAGATGGGATCCTTTACACCAAATCTATCCAACTATGGCGAAACAAAACATATATGAAACATGCACAGTGCACTATCATTCAACTCGATGAACCAGCGCGCGAAACTTGAACTAGCTCTCTTGACTTTTGTCTACATGTGAGATTTGTTTCCAAGTGTTTGTACCTTCCAGAACTATCTCGACCTATCATTCTGTCTGTATCATCTTCACGTTGTAAAACAATGACAACAAATAATTCACTCAAGAATTCGTACGCAAGTGGTTGCAGTTGGGACAAACATTGAGTCGTTCATTGTTCTAAAGTCGTCCCTGGTGGGCACAATTTCAAGTCCAGCTGGGCTGCGAAGTTTGAGCGAGACCAGGGTCGGGCGGAAGCGCTGCACTCAGCATCGCTCAGCGACAGGGCGCACATGCTGATGGGCTCAAAATCGGGGATGCACCAATTTATGGCCAAACATGGGTATCTGCTTGGTGGTTGAGCCTACCCCTCTGAAAAATGATGGAGTTCGTCAGTTGGGGTTATGACATTCCCAATCTATGGAAAAATGATATAATATTCCAAACCACCAGCCAACCAGGTATGGGAATGTACTGGATAAACACTTGATGCCTCTCAAAACCACGGCCCGTGTATTTTTTCATTGTCTGATTCACGGGCCGTGCTTGGTACATGACAACATGTACCATGGATCCGCGCACAGGGATTCATAGAATCAAAACAGCAATCTCAGGAGGGGGGCAACAAAAAGGCAATATACATGTGTGGCTTTATTCCGCGGTCTCACACCAAACCCTGCAATGGTTTTTCTTTCGATTCAATTCCAATATAAAATGCATTGAAAGTGCCACTAAAACAAACCAAAATTCCACAGGGCTCACCTGACCTGAATGGTCCAAATGTGGCTACCTAGACCTAGACTCTCCAAGTACGCATAAAATGTCGGCTTTTCTGTGCTCCTTATTTGCAGAACAATTGCAATTTTTCCCCACACAACGTGTTCACGTTTGGGTGAGAAGCATATGTTTGCACAGAATCGAGCTCTCGCCATCCCTGGAACCACCACCCCTGACTGCTACTGTCATCTACCGTTTCCACTTACCGACTCGTGGACATTCGCTTGCAACTCGGAAGTTTTGCTAACTAATTTGTGAAAAGTTGGTCAAACACATTTGTCGCCATTCACCAAACGTACGACGTACGACTCCTTGTTTTCATGTCTTTTCCCCATGCACCTTTTGCTGATCCCGGACGCTGCAGTCCTTGTAAGCCCATGTGGGTACACCCTGCACCGTGTCATCGGTCACGCCCTGCAGAAAAAAAAATCGACCCACAGGTGGCCGCTAGGATTCTCAAAAATGGCGAAGTTAGATTCCAAAAATGGATTGGTTTATATATATATTATATATATATAATTGCAACACGCAGTGGTAGCAAGCGAAGCGGATCTCACCTGTTTTCAGCCTACTGGCGCAAGTGCCGCTTGGCATTGTCCCCTTGAGCCATCGGCGTTGCGATGGAGTTTGATCAAGTGACCAATGATGGATTTCGCACTGACCACACTTTGTTTTGATCAAACTTCAGAAAATGAAAAGAACCTCATGTTTTGAGGTACGCTCAAGCAACTTTCGCTGCAATGCTGAGCCTTCTTCAAGAATACTCCACTGGCCAGTGTTCATGACATGACGCAAGAGATCAGCCTTTGATTCCTTAGTCAAACTATCTGCCAACATAGTTCGGCCATCAATCCATCGGATGTTGCCATTGAGCTCGGCAATCTCTTGCTTGATCAAGGAAATATCAATGGATGTTCTCTTGTCTTCGCACTGAGAGGCAGGGTTGGTACACTTACAGATAGTGTCGTACAACGATTTGGAGTCAGTTACACAAATAAATGGTAGCTGAGCTACTTCACGATGCCATTCTCTAGCTGAAAGATGTAGACCCTTGGCCTCTAAAATCAAAACACGATACCAATGAACTGAACTAAGTCCTCGAACAAGAGCCTGCGTCTCGGAGCTGAGTGTGTTCACAGTCCTTCTCTTCAAACGATAGCTCTTCCACGAGGCAAGGGAGACATTCTGTAGAGTCTGGGACTTCGGCAGGTCCTGGTCATAGAAAATCACGATCTCGCCACCCTGGCTGAAGAGCTTGTTCAGCTGATCGTAGCCTGCATGGATGGCCTTGGAATCAAGAGACTTGCCCTCGTCTTGCTTGTAGAATGTTGTTGTCCCGGTCCATGTTGACGATGACATGGATCGGAGACTATCGCTTGTTGTCCAATCATCTTGGAAGGTCGTAGATCTGGACCCAGTTCGGATTTCTGTAGATCGTTCTGGTCGTAGATCATGAAGATCTGGTCCATCCGGGCAAGCGGCTGGATGGAATGCCGTGATACGAGGATCTACATGATGGCGGATCCATGATGTAGAAGTTTCTTCCCACCTATCCTTTGTAGTACCGGCTTCCAAATATGTGCCAAACTCTTTGGAGTTTCCCCATGAAGCATCTGTGACAACTCCAGCATGAAGACGGTCAAGAGGGATTGACATCGCTCTAATTCCCAAGTGTTTATGATCCAGTGCTTCCTGTGCAATTTGATTTGCTGTGATGATGTCACGGATCATTGGCCTTGGAAACGCTTGCTGAAGGAGTGCCGTCTTGCCAGCTAAATCACATCGTGTCTCCTTGGAGAGCCAAGACAAAGTTCCTACCAATGCTCTGAGTTGCTCAGTTTCTTCAGGATTACAAACTGAAAAACGACGTCGCTTTCGTTCTCGCTGAAGAGGAATTGGTGCCACTCGAGCCTCAGTGTAAAACTGTTGATCCACCAAAATGGAAAAATCCTCCAACTGTCGGATGTCTTTGCCAACGAAACGCCCTTGACCCCAGGTGTACTTTCCCAACTTATACTTGGATCGGATAATCTCCATGAGTTGAAAATGTCGTTGGGAGCCTCCATGAAAAAGATCATCTGTGGCGAGTGCGATGATGCCTTCAATGGAAGATTTGCCCTCTGCATCTGGTTCGGAATCCAGAAAGAACAAGCATTGATCGACCACAGATTGACGGTACCCAAGTTGTTCACACAGAAAAGTGACAATGTGCTTGAACCAGGCATATGGGCCATCTGTTAGGCCATAGCATGTCTTTTTCAACTTCAGGAGTTGTCCCTTACTGGCACCTGGAAGGCCTTCAGCAGGTTGTTCTGCGTAAAGTTCTCGGTCAATTGGATCTCCAGAATGGAACGCCTGGGTGAAGTCGGCAAAACCTGGAGTCCAATGTTTGCTGGCCATAATCTGCGCTGCAAAAATCACAGAATCTCGATGAACTTGTGGTGTGCTGGTTTCAAGATCTAAAAGAGCTGACTCAGAATATCCCTGCATCACATGACGGCACTTCGCTTTGCAAGGTTGATCCTTTTCTGAGGAGTCTAAGATCTCGTCAGCTGAGATTGCATCTTCGAGGCCACAGTCCTCGATAGGTTTCTTTGTAAGCACATATCGAGATTTCATGATCTTTTCAGGGGATGAAGCCCTGATGCGAGCTGACTCCTGTGGTGTCAACACTTCATATGCTCCAGTGGCTAGATTGTTGTTGAACTCCTTGTGGATGGCCCGAAGCAACCGTTCTCGATCTTTTCCCTGAAAATCTCGAAGAGTCGCCTCCTTCCCTTTCTTCTGTCGTTGAGCAGATTTGTTGGAGATTTCCTGGTAGTAGATCTCCAAGAGCTCTAGCCGACTGCGTTTGCTGACTGGCAATGACGACCAGTCAGCATCTGGCTGGTCAACCTCCACAAATTCACGTTTCCTCTCCTCAGGGTGCTGATGGTTGTCATCTAGAGGTCTCGTCTCCTGTTGAGGTTCAACTTCAGGAGGATCCGGAAGAGGAACTTCAGGAAGTGGAGGATCTGGAGCAGGTAGTCCCGGAGGTGCTTCAGGCATCACAGGGATTGGCTCTGGAGTCTCAAGCGCTGTTTCCGGTGTTGCCATAGGCGCCTGAGAGAAAGGAATCATCTGTTCGGGCTCCACTCGAGACTTCTTGCTAAGTCGGCTCCGTGGTACGAGTGGATCAGCTTCTCGTTTCTGTTCCAATCGACTTGGCTCATCAATTTTCTCTTCAAGCCATGTCTCTCCAGTCCACTCTTGACGATGGGCTGGGATGCCATTCCCTGAAGTCCAGTCATCCTCAAGAATCTCCTGATCACCATCGGTGATGTTCATGACTGATCTTCTCCATGGTCGAAGATGTGAAGGCGGTACTGGAGGGTCTTGGCCACGTTCTTCTGGATGAAATAGTTCACGTCGAGGTTGAACATGCACTCTGATCCAAAAATTTCCCTCCTGCCGCCAGAAGTCATGAAGTTCTGCCGGAGGTAGTTCATCGTTTTCTTGAGATAGATCAATCAGCCCCTTCACCTTGCTCGCCTCAAATTGCATCTTGGCATTGGAGATACCTTCCAACCAACCTGATATAGAAAAGAACTCCTCCTCAGACGCTGGTCTCAGTTTCTCAGGTGCTGCCTTGACAAGGTGGTGGTTGTAAGAAAGCCACACTGTTGTCGGGAGTTGAGTTGCTACAACTCGGGCAGGACCATGCCAGAAGTAACTTGCCGGCTTTCTGGCGGCATCAGTAGCCCGTCTCCAAAAGTAGACGGCTTGTCCAGTTTCGTAGGCATAGTGAGGACGAGGACCATGAGTTGCTGCTGCTCGAATTGCCTGTTGACAATCCACCTCATGAAAGGACTGAGCTGCTGCCTTTCGGATCATCATTGAGCGACTGACATTCACATCTCCAGTCGCAGCCAAGCTCTGGACCGCCAAATCACTCTCGCCTTCAGACATGAGTCCTCCAGGAATCCTTTGTTGAAAGCCAAAAACTCGTTGGGCTGGAGAGAAGCCTCCGCGACTGAGCAGGCGGTTCTTGGTGCTGCAGGCCAAATCAATAGTTTGATACCACTCATCCCAAGTAGAACACTTGGTTTGTTCAATGGTCTTGTAGAAGACTTCCTTGAAGAGCTGGCCATGTCGTTCAACAAAACCTCTCTGTTCTGGTGTCTCCAAGGAAGATGGAATCAATTCAGAACCGTCAGCTTCTGCTAGAGTTTCAAACTGTTTTTGGAATTCCCGGCCAAGATCACAAAGAAGTTTTCGTGGCGGACCAAAAATCTTCAGCCACAGTCGGTATCCCGCTCGGGTGGCCTCTGCAGTGTGAGCTGTGAGCGGGACAATGAGCTGGAAATGGCTGCTATAGTCAATGATGTTGATGCAGTACTTGGTCTTCTCAGAGAAAGAAGCTCGGAGCTGGATAGTGTCCACTCCGACGATCTCATTCAGTCCAATATCTTTTGGGGGCGCTGCTGCCCTTGATGGTCTCGGCAATTTGAACTTCTCGCAAACGGAGCACTTCAGGTTCTTGGCAATCTCCAGAACCTTTGGACTAGCCTTGCTATTGGTAAGGATCCGGATGAAACGATCTTTTCCTGGATGGCCAAGTCCTTCATGAGCTCGTTTGACCAAGGCTTCCAAGGATAATGGATGGGTGCCAGGAAACTTTTCTTTCTCCTCAGGTTCATCAAGAGGGTGTACTTCAGCAAGAAGACCTGGTCGTGGTAGTTCAGGAGGATTGCCATCAGCGCTTCTGCAAGCCGTAGATAGCTGTCCCTCAGGGCATAGGTCTCCGCAAAGAATCAGGTTATTCTCAAGGGACTTCTCCTTTTCGAAAACCGCATTCCCCTCAACCAAATAGAGAAGATGATGTCCTAGCCCAATTGACGAGGCATACGCAATCAAAATGGCGTTCACCAGTCCAGCTGGGTAACGTTGTGCCAGCCTTGATCGATTCATTGGTGCTCCACGATCACGGCCCATCACAAGTTCATGAGAATGCGATCCATCGCAAGTCGAATTGAGTTGTTGGGCTATATGCAAACTGTTGGTCAAAAAGCCAGATCTTTTCCGCATTGGTTCACCCTGAGTGGTAGTTAAACCAAACATACATTGATCCACCCTTGCCAAAAGAAAATCATCATGTTGAATGAGTCGTTGGAGACATGGTTCATTCCAAGAACTTGCCGACCATGGACGTTCGAAAACGAAACTCAAGCCCAGACTGTGACACAGCAAACAAATCTTTGTACAAAACTGGAGCAATCGGATGGCTTTTCGAAGTTCTTTGACATGTTGATCAAATTTCTTGGGGTCTTTGCTCCAGATGGGCCAACACAAATTCAATAAACTGCTGAATTTGGTACATGGTGGTGAAATGACCACAAGTCCCGGTCGTTCAGATTTCAAATAAGAAATAACCCTTTGTTGATTGCCAACGTCCAAAAGATCCCAACCCAATTCCAAATCAAATGCTTGTCCTGATCGAAGTCCAAAATAATCTGTTGATGAACCAAAACGATTTGGATTACAAACTTCGGCAACTGTCCGCAGCTGTTTTGGCTGAAGCATGTAAAGCTCCGACAAGAATTTCATATGTGGCTGCTGTTCCTGCAAGGCTGAGCGAATGACCTTACATGTAGCTTGTAATTGAGTCTCATCATCGCATTCTGAATGATCACATAAAAGACGGAAAATTTCCAACCAACATTGCTCAGAACGTTTCAGGCAGCCATAAATATGCCGTCTAAGACCAGCCTTTACCTCCGATGTTGTTGGTTCGGAGGTGGACTTGCTGAACTGCTCTCGGCTACCTCCCTCAGACGCTTCCAGTTGAGAAAGTCCTGATACTCCTCCCGGGACAGGTGCCGGCTGCTCGAGCTGCCTGGCTGGATGTACTGCATCATGTTGGGCACCACTGACGACGTTGAAGTCGTGGAAGATCGAGATGGGCTGCTGGTCCGTTGACTGGCCTCTTTCTTGGTCTGAGCAGTGAGTGGTTTTGGTTGCTCCGTCACCACCTTGCCGCAATCCCGGCATATCTCCTTCAGGAGAAAGGCATTGGTACCCGCTCGACTCAATCTCTTGTGTTGGCAAACCTCCTGATGTCGTTTCATGTAGTAGTTCATCTCCTCGGGTTCCATGTGTTGTGCCACCGGTGGAGCTGCCGCATCTTGGGACCTCAGGATCTGGTTGTTCAGCCACATGAAAAAGGCACACTGTTGGGCTCTGGGTTGACTGCATCTCCAAAAGAGACGATCGTGATTCTTCTCGGTCTTGGATACCCAGAGAAGGCATGGAAGGCCGCATGTGCACTTCGGAGCATCCCGAGTCAGATGTAGATCCGGCGGGATCTCCCACATAGTTGCTGGACGACGGTCCGGAGTGAACGGGTAGTCGGTGTGGAACTCCTGACTCTTCATACTTGAACTCCTTGGTGGGGTCCTCGGCGGTGGATCGAAGTCGGTCACCCTGGACCATCCCGACGGTGTGGAAGACCTGGCTGGAGAGGGCTTCCGGGACATTTGATTTGAACTCATCATGGTGATATGAAGGACCAGTTGATCCATCTGCCCGGGCTCCAGCAATCCAGCCATCTCCTCCATCTGGCGTAGCAAAAGACCACGTGGTCCGGGCATCTTGAAGTGCATGTACACCTTGTGCCCGATGGCACGCTGAATGATCATCATCGTCTTGAGGACCAGGCGAATCCAACATTGCAGAACGAATTTGCTGCCCACTTCGGTCCGACCCCTCTTGGAACGACCGCCGTGCATTGCAATTGGTGGTACGAGGGGCTGCTCCGTGGGCTGGAGACTTGTCACACGAACTGCTAGCTAAATTGCTCTGAGAACCAGGTTCATCAACAAGGTTGGTTTGAAGCAGCTCATACTCGTCTGAACTCTTTGGAATCCGCTGTGATAAAAATGAAATCATCTCGGTTGTGAATTGTTGTATCGGAATACGTAGTGCACCCGTTGGCCCCAAATGACATGCCACGCTGAATCCAAATTGTTTTGATACCAATTTCAAACCATGTTGCTCATCCAAACACAAAATAGCCTTGCAATGTAGCAAAAATGGTAACGATAATAGAAATGGGGCATCTGCACACGAAGCTTCTTCAAAAAGTGCAGGTCTCAAAATACAACCTCGAGGACCAAGACTACATGGAATGCATGCCAGTTGTGTTGTACATGATGTTTGATGGACGCTTCGAAAATGATGAATTTCTTTGTAAAATGTCACTGGTAATTCCGATGGTTGGGTCAATTGAAGTTTTTGAAGTGTGTTCAATCCAATGGCCATACGTTGACATCCTGTATCTAACGTTGCACAACCCTCATCCATGGAAACCTGCATGTGAAAACATTGAAAAATAGTCGGCCGCTCCATATATGCTCTCTCGGTCACAAGCTCTGAAATGGCTGAGTCATCTTGCTCATCACAAAATCCTGGAGCATCCCAGCCGCAGTTGGACTGAGCGTTCGTAGGCTCGGTCGAGCCCATCGACTCCAAATAGAAAAACTCACTCTCGGCAGACAAACCTGCAGAGTTCTGCAAAAAGTTCAGCTCCTTGGTCTTGGGCTTCATGGCATCGCCTTTGACATGGGAGCTCTCTGATGGCTTCTTGCCTTTGCTAGGGCATTCACGAGCCCAATGGCCCGTCTGGCCGCATGCATTGCACTTTGTCCTCTTTTTCAATTCTGAGATGGAAACTTCATAGGTTCCAGGTCGTAAGATACCATCCCGACCAGCTCCAAAACCTCTGGCGAGGTCTCTGTTCTTCTTGGCCTTCATTGCTCCTGCATAGGAACGACTCTTAGCCTTGTGGTCCTTGACCATGGTGAGAAGAATCTCCTTGGTCTCCGCCTCAGACAAGGTCACCGCATTGGACTCCGCAAGGTTGTCGGAATCCTCCAAGTCCGCAAGGGCAGTGAGGAGCAACTCAGAGGATTCAGTCTCCATGTCCTCGTCGGATTCAGGAATGTCCATGAGCTGGATCTCCTTGGCATTCTCCTGGTCCAAAAAGTAGGCTGCCGACTTCTTCTTGTCGTTGCCCAAAGTGGAGAGATCTAGATCTGTCTCATGAATCCTGAGCCACTCTTTAACATCAGAAACCTTCAAAGAACCCTTCGTGTAGTTGAGGAGAAGTTTGGTCCGTTCGGAATCCAGCTGGAGCGCATTCACCATCAGGAAGCCCAAAAAGTCCTGTGGAAGGCGAACTTCGTGCTCTCGAACCTTCCGCTCAGCAGTGTCCCATCGTGTCATGAACTGCCGTGCTGACTCACCACGTTGGCGCTTCAGGTGAAAGGTCAACCGAGAACATGCCGCCAACATTGATTCCCTTTGTTCTTCTCCATAGTATTCTTTGGAGTCCATAAGTTCTAACAACTTGGTTCCATTGGTGGGATCAGTTAACCAGTCTTCATCACTAGCTAAAAACTTCAAATCCTCCCAGGGTCCTTTGGACAAGTTTTTCAACAAGAGCGGTCCTCTGGCATGTGCTGGAGTCCGCGTAGTACGCAACCAGATCTTCGCCTTGAGCTTGTAGTCACGGAATTCCGTGGAGATGCCATCCCACTCAGGAGGTGGCCCTGCAGTGGTACGTTCATGCTCTTCTCGCGCTGCTTGCCAAAGAGCTCGGTTGGAACCTTCTTGATGTCCCTGATAGAGCCCTTGATCAACAGCACTGGCCTGTGCACGCCACTGCAAGAACTGAAGAAATTCACTTTCAAGACCTGGCGCACGAACTTCAGCTGCTTGACTCCGTGGTACAGACCAGGGATCACGCCTGGCCCATGGGTCTCTTCCAGTAGACGCATCTGATCGTCTGCCAGTCGATCTGCCACCATTGGACCTTGGTGTCCGTTCCCCCGGATCAGGGGGTGGATCATCTTCTGATGTATTCTCCCTCGGCAAGGGAACCTCCTCTGCCATTGCTGCAAGGCCTAGACCTAAAACTTCCCTGGATCGTCACCAACGCTCCGCTACCACTGCAACACGCAGTGGTAGCAAGCGAAGCGGATCTCACCTGTTTTCAGCCTACTGGCGCAAGTGCCGCTTGGCATTGTCCCCTTGAGCCATCGGCGTTGCGATGGAGTTTGATCAAGTGACCAATGATGGATTTCGCAATAATATATATATATATGTGTGTATCTATATATATAATACATAATAGATATATATATATATATCATATATATATATATGTTATATATCCATATATATGATGATATCTATATATATATAGGATATATCTATATATATATAATACATACATATATACATCATATATGTATATATATATATACGTATTCATACATTGGTTTAGTCAGATTATATAAGTTGGACTGAGTTAGACTGAGTTATCGGTAATAAGATTAAATTAATCAATTTATAGTCGTCCTGACGGAGATAGATTATGGACATTTGGCAAGAACACAACTTGAATATGGTTGAAATTCCCATCTATCTACAGGATGCTGAAAGATGTACACTTAAGCCAACCATCGAGTTGAAGTCGATAAAGTTGCCCTTCGGTGTTTTATTGCTCTGAAATCCACAGTATCGTCATTGTTCAGGCAAACCATGGCGTTAATTGTGCGAAATCTGCAATGCTCCCGTCCTTTTGACGCATGGCAAGTTTCGACCTGGCAAGATTGAAGGTTTTGGCATCAGCAATGGTGCTGGAGGTAGAACTTTCACTTTTTAATTCCATGTCTATATTATACCAATTTGCACCATGTCTGGATGGCTGCTCATGGTGTCTAATCCCCGACTTCCCCACAGAAGCACACTCCTACCACTTCGTCAGCATCCTGATTCACGATGACAGGCGTCTTCCAAATCCGGCCTTTCAATGAAGATGCGCTCATCTTCTATGAGTTTCAAATCCTTGGATGGCATCTGCCAAAGATCTTCACCATGTTCTTTCCTCAGTTGTCGCAACACAACAACATTGAGAAACATGCTGAAATCACACATTCGCGAAAACGTATGGGCATCACGCAGGGCAGCCAAACCTTTTCACACCTGCCACCAGGTCTTGCTCCGGGCGCCGCAAGTACATCAAAGGCACTCAGGTGCAGGTGGAAGTGGCTTGGCCTCGATTTGAGTTAAACCAGTGGGTTTCCAAGTTCAAGGCTGATGGATCAACAAACAATAGCTGAAGGCTGAAAAATATAACACACTCAGCAAAGCCAGGGAAAAAGGTGGAGGAACCAATGGGCAAAGTATAGTAAAAACATGTAGAGGACTGATTATAAAAAGCAAAATACTGGCACAAATGATGATAAACCTGCATGTATGTGTTAGAATTCCCAAGACATTCCCAGTCACCCACCATCTGAGTCAATCTTAGATACCGGCATCTATAAATTTGTGAATATACCATGTTCTTGTTTGCGGCAGGCAATACAAACAACAACTAAACTACCCATCTTGCAGAACATCTGACTGAATGATGACCCTTGACCAACCTGCGATATTTAGTGACTTTAAAGTGGTTCCCCCTAACCCCGTTGTACTTCAGCCAGGTTTCAGCCGGGTGTGTCTGAAACTATCCCATCCCTATCATCAGCCAGGTTTCAAGACAACCCTCATCACACAAGCAAAAAAAATGTCGTTTTTTTTGCCCCCCCCCCCCGGTAGCTTTGCTCGTGTTATTTCGGAAAATATGAACATGTTGGTTGGGTATGGTTGGGTATACTATTCCATGATATCGCACTGTATGCCCAGGAAAACATATATCATAGAATGGGTGGTTTGTATCTTACCAGCAAATTTAACAGTTGGCTGAACCTCTATGGTCATTAAATGCAAAAATACTTCCTTGGAGTGACCCCCCACCAACTGACCTGTTTTCTGCCATATACAATAATTTATACATATATAACTATATGTATATACAACATTTGATCTGACATTCTGTCTGACCTATATTGTGGCATTCTATCTGACATTCTATCGGGCATTCTTCCTGACATACATCCTGACACTTAGTTTGACAGTTCTTATTTCAGATATGATCTTATTTGACATGTATTCTGACATTCTGTGAGGTATTTTATCCGACGCAATACTGTTCTGACGTTCTATCTGGCATCTTATCAGCAATCCTCACATTCTATCTGACATATATCATTATGACATTCTTGAAAAAAAAACTGGCATAGGGTTCGGGTCCGGCAAGGTCCCGACAGCTGGCGAGCTTGTGATAAAGCTGCCGTGACTGGATATGAGAAGGAGGGTATTGGTAGGATGTCTTGTTAAAAATCACCCTCACCTGGCAGATCAAAAACATCCCTCAGCGCCAAGTGTCTTTCCAGGTTCCTCCTCCGCAACGGTTACAGAGATTCTTCGGGCCAACAAATAGGCCTGGGCTTTCCGTGCTCACTAACAGGGTGGCCTGCACCAGCTCTTTGAAAGCTTCTGCGACTTCGATAGAACTTGCTGGCCTCTGAGAAGGTTCAGCATACTCAGCGGGACGCATGCTTGAAAGAATTTATACTTAATATGATGCTTCACGGCTTGACTTAGATGGATTCAAATGGTGGATGAACCACCTTTGTGGAAAAGATGTAAAAAAGATTATAAAAAAAAAAGGATGGACCGAATCCAAGAATCCCTTGAATCCAAGAATCCCTTGAGGATTTTGCTGAACAGGCCGCCGAGCAGGGGGAGGGTCAGCTTGGTCAGCTTGAGCATCAGGTGGAGCTATAAACTGATCAGGATCGGCTTGCAAAGCCAGCAGGTAATACTCCTCACCTGCAGCTGCCACGCTGGTACATAAAACATCTGTGAAAGCAGGCCCTTCTGCACCCTGCAGAGCTATCCTCAAACACGGTGGAATGCCCTTGCTTTGCCTTGGAGCCGTTTCACTTCGCAGGAACTGCAAAAAGTTTTGCCGCCCTTCAGGGTCCAGGAATAGGTCTAAGAAACTCGTGTCGGCCAATTTCTTTGGTGTCTTCAACAATCGTTCCAAGGAGCTCCCCCCAGCTCTTCCAAAAGACCTTAAATAAGGAATTCTCAAATAAGGTGTGTTTTTTTTAAGGTCTTTTTCCTTATTTAAGGTTTGTTTTTTGTTGAAGTTTTTTCTATGTGTTTTGTCTATTTCCTACTTTTCCAAATGTGTTTAGAACATCTCTCCTATCAAGGAGGGAAACACAAGGGCATGAGTAGCACTTGTTGCCACTTGTTTCTGTCTGTGCATTTGAATTCATTCATTCTTCAGCTGTTTGTCTCAAGGTCGCTAAGCTTTGGTCCCTCCACCATGGCAAGGGCTAGCAATTCCATGTCCAACAAGGACTATGCCAAAGTGATCAGGGCCAACAAGGTTTCAGTGCTCAAAGAAGACTTTTCCATGTCCTTGGATGATTTTGCTAACAAGCACAGGTCCTTGCTGCTGGATCTGTTGGAGAAGACAGGTCGTGTCAGCAAGACAAGTTTGTCTTCTGCGATGCTTGCTGAAGACAACAGCCTTGATCATTCAGAATGCAGGCACTTCGCTTCAAGGGTTGTGGAAGCTTTTGCTTCTGCCAGAACTATTGGCAAATCGATGACTAGTGGAAAAAAGACTGGTCCTGGCATGAAAGCATTGGTGGAAGGGTTGAGGCAGCAGCGAACACCCAGCAGGTCTCCTCGCTCCAGGAGCCCCACACATGCTGCTCCTTCTTCAAGTGCCACGCCATCATTGCCAACTGCATCAGAGGCACCCACCAGATTATCCAAAGCAGATGCAGCCAAGGCTTTGGGCATGTCTGGCTATGTTGCTTCACCTGCAAAAACCTTTCATGGAGTGCAAGTTGTTTCTTCCTGCAGCTCAGGAAGACAATTGCTCAATCTCGAAGTGTCTGTTACCAGACACAGCGATTTACTGGGTGGATTCACATGCAAATGCTTTGTGTCGCAAATTTCCTGGGCAACCAATGCAATTGGCCAGGATGACACCTGGTGAGAATGGCTTTGGCATTGCCCACTTTGAGGCTGATGCTGGTCCTGCAGAAGAGAAGCAAACTGACATTCCCAATCTCATGTTTGCTACTGCACCATCGAGTGACCACAAGAAGTTGAAGCGACCTGCTGCTGCCATGAAAAGACCTGCTGCTGCTCCAAAAGCAGCACCAAGCCCAGAGCTCACTGCATCCAGCTCTGAGCAGGAAGCTGTTGCTACAGAGCCTCCCTCTGCTGAAGCAGTTGGAGAACTGCCAAAGCAGGGCTACACAGTGATGTACTACAAGGCTTCAGGAGCCTATGCTATTCGCGAAACCAAATTGGGAAAGAGGCAGCTGTTTCAGATCACCAGCAAAAGGAAAACCCAAGCCCAACTTTTGAAGATCATCAATGCTGCCAAAGAGAAGCTGAAAGCTGGGGAAAATGTGGCAGCTGTGAGAAATTGGGCCCGAAACGAGGCATCCAATTGAGCCGAGTGATTTGGCTACAGGCTTTTGCTCTGCAAAAAATGATTCAGCTGGGTGCTTTGGTTTCCTGTAAGATGTTAATCAGAGCTGGCACTCCTATTTAGGAAGGCTGTCTCAGGTAATGGTAATTCCCATTCATCATGGTATGTTAAAGCATTTGGACATAGATGACTACAAATTTCATTTATATATATTATATTCTATTTGTGTAATTTGTTTTATCAAAGTAACAAGATGTATATATATATATATATACACATACAATCAAACATACATGTGTTTGTATATGGGAGCCTTATATGGCTTTTTCATCAGGGTATGGAAATTGTTCATGTGTTATCTCAATATTGTTGTATCATTTTCAAACTCTCCTATGTAGGAGGGTATAAAATGGTCACTTATCAAGTAAGTATCGTGTTTTCCTTATTAATAATTCTCCTATGGAGGAGTTCCAGCCTGGGTGCTGCACAGCTGTCAGTGATCAGTGTTGCTCAGAGTTGCACCATGTCATGACCAGGACAGAATTTGAAATTTGAAAGTTTTTTTTGGGGAAGGCATGTGGTGCCATTCAAACGACTCACATGCAGCCAGTGCAGCTCTCAAGCTTGTGGTTCAGCCAGATCCCTCAGTTTCCTGTTGTGCAGCATGGGTGGTGCTTCATCGAGCAAGGAATCTCCAGCTGATGAGGCTATCAGGACAGTGAAGGGAGTTTCAAATTTTGTCTCCTATGTAGGAGGCATTTTTTTTCAGACAAGATGCACCTCCTACCCAGGAGGTGCTATCATATGTTGTTATTATGATGGTATAATCTAATGTAACATAATAAAACCCCTGCCAGGACCGCCATGGATGTGATCAGGCAGATGCAGGTGACTCAGCAGCTGACCTTCCAGCAGCTCCAGGCACTGTCAAATGCCTCAGCTCCTGTGGCAGGTGGGGTGGTACTACCACCTCCACCACCTCCACCACCTGCTGACCCTCCTGCTGAGGCACCAGTGGATGAAGGGTCTTGGTGGTATCAAGGTCCCAGGACTTGCAGGAAGTGCGGGCAGAAGTCATATTTGAGGCAGAATATCTGCTACAATATGGACTGCGTATCTAAGTGACATTTAATTGATTTTTTATTCATTCTTTCTTTATATGGCTTTTTTTGAAGTGTATATGTATATAGATAGGTAGGTAGATAGATAGATAGATAGATATGGCCTTTGCTCAGGCACTCAGCTTCAACAAGCTCCCTGCTGCAGAGCTTGGGCAGAGGTTGCTCCAATGGGGCGCTGCAGACTGGGGCCAAGGCCCTGTCACTACCACTCGTGTCCAGAAGTCGAAGAAGAACAGAGGCAAAAAGCGCAATCAGTGGATGGCAGAGGTGAAGGCATTCCATGCTGGCAGGGGCAAGGGATCTTCCAAGGGATTCCCAGGTGCACCCTGGTGGCCTACTGAGGAGGCAAAAAAGAAGCCAGGGGAGGAGGAGGAAGAGGAGGAGGAAGATGAAGTCGAGATGGTGGAGCCCCTGGTGAAGACGTTCAATAAGGACGATGATGATGAAGATGATAGCTTTGAAAGCATGCCCAGGAAGCGCTTTTGTGTGTTTGGGCCATAGGCATCAGCTTGAGGTAGGCTGCTATGAACCATTATGTTTGGATCAGAGCTTGTGCACAAAGCCAAGCACCTGTTTCTGGATTTGCATTGGACGGCAAAAAAGAATGCGTTGGGCTGCTGCTGCTTGGGATGGGAAGGCAGAAGGTCTCCTATGAAGGAGGCCCACTCCTAATTAGGAGTGTAATATATGTTCATGTTTTTTATTGCCTCCTATTCAGGAGGTTTATTTTTAGCAAGCACCACATCTCATATCTAGGAGTTTTGTGGTTGGATCAAGGATTGTGGGATGGGCCTGGCTTGGTGTGCAGGATTGAATTCATAGTTTATGTCTAGATATACTGTTGTGGAATTCATGGTTCATAGTTTGATAAATAGTTTTATCTTATGGTTCATTCACAAATGATGCATGGATCCTTGGGTACAATATCAGGATTTAACTTCATTTAACTTGGACCCCCTGAAGTTAAATTTAAATTGTTTTTTAATTATAAGTAAAGTTAAATGAAGTTAAATAAGTTAAATCCTGTACCCTGTATAGATACAAAACCTTTCTGTTCATCCAATTTGGCTGGATTGTTTTCATCACATAGAATTTTGGACATCAAATCTAGGTCAGTTGCTGTGATCCCTTTCTGTTCATCACCAATGGGAAAACCAGCTGCAGAGAAAAAGGCTGCCAAGGATACCACCAAGAGGGATGCCAAGAGCAAACAGAAGGATTCAACCCAAGCTGCTCAAGACAAGAAAGATCAGAGCAACATGTTGACCCAGCTCAAGAAAGGTGACACCACAGAGAAAGTTCAGACTTTGCAGCTCTACCAGAGCCTGCCCCGGTTTTCTGATGAGAAACTGGAGCTCCTCAAGAAATGGAAGTTGGACAAGACTTGTAAATGGATTGCATCCTACAAGGAGACCAGGTCCATGACACAGACCACCAAGCACCAAGAGAAAGACGGTTTTGCTACCAAGTATCTAAGCATTTTGTTTATGATATCATTTTGTCAAATAGATATCTATGATTATACTTTTGTTTCACAAGATGAATTATAAACCAACATAATGAACATCTGCCCAGCTCAGGTATCAAGTGGCCGAGATCTGCAAGCTCCCTGTGGAGAGCAAGGAACTCAAGGCAATTTTAGCTGAGCTTCCCCAAGATGATCATTGGGATGAGTCGGTTGCCTTGGAGAGAGGCTACAAGAAGGCTGGGCTTACCAGGTACCACCTGGTTGGCCTCAAGGACTTCACTACCAGGAGCTCTGAGGACACCTACACTGAGGAAGCCTCCAAGTCGAAGACTACCGCCTTCAACCAAAGTGGCACTGGCAATCTCCAGCTGGCAGCCCATGTGAAGGATGAAAATCCTTTGCACACAGCTTTGCTTCAGAAGATTGCTGTGGCTGAGAGTGGCAAGGCTGCTATGGAGAAAGTACGCTCCCAGATTGGTGATTTCCATGTGGCTTTGACCAGAAAGTTGGCCAAGGACAGCTCTTGGAAAAACAAAAGCATGGAGATTTCCAAATCCTTCTTCAAGCTCCAAGATGAGACCCTTACTCTCAGAACTCGCATTGCCGAAGCCAAGGAGCTGCAGCCTAGTGAGGTCACCCAAGAAACCCTGGACAAGTTCACCTTGGTGGTGGAGAATGCGAGCACTTTGGTGGATGTGGCCAAGAGCCAGGTAAAGCAAGTTGGAGGCTTGCTGGCGAATTCTTAGGTCTTAGTCTAGCTCCAGGCTGAAACCTCTTTTGGCCATGCCTGCACAAGTGCTGCAGTCAGTCATGGCCTTGCCACTTGTTCCCTGCTGTGGAAAAAAGTGCTGCTGCTTTGGTGTGGGGTGGCTGGGCAATGGTAGTGGCTCCTATATAGGAAGCTATCTCCTATCTAGGAGATTAAATCAATATATCTAACCTTGGTTTTCTTACTCTAGATGGTTCTTTCTGTAGGGTGGTCACAGCTGTGTAGGAAGGGTCTACTCTGGCCACCTGTCACCTTGTGCTTTCACTTCTGGCATAAGCAGCTCATTGCTGTAGACTTTTGGCTGCTTCAAGATGTTTCACCCACAGATGCAATGTTCAGCAAAAATGCTTTACCCAAGTTGGATGAAGAACCTGACCCTCACAGACGGTTGAAGGCCAATGTCAGAGATTTGTTTTTGACAAATCAGGTGAGTGCTGCAAGGGCTGCCAGTTTGTTTTCTGATGCAGCTAGTGCTGGTGTGCAAGCCCTGCAAGATGTGGCTGGCTTAGAAGCCAAAGCCAACTGTTCACCGAGACCTTTTGAGAAAATTGGCAAAGAAATCGAACGACTGGCCTCGACTTTACTGGGCCAAAATTGATTTTTGGCACCACAAAAAGCAAAAGGTGCAGAAAGAATGGCTGGCTTTCTTGCTGCCGCATGAATGGCTTGGCAAGTTGGCTGCCAAAGTCAAAGATGCCAGCCTTCTGGCCACCTGGCAAGGGTTGGGCCCCACTGCTCAAAGCGAATGTGCCAGAGCTGCTCAAGAACTTCAATGCAAAGATCTCATCCCTTTGAGTTTTTGGTGCGATGCAGTGCCTTACAACTGGGACAGGTCACAGAGCTTGGAAGTCATGAATTTAGGAATGCCAGGTGTTCCTGAGTGGATGAATCTCAGGATTCCTTTCACTTGCTTTGAACACAAGCGACTGTCTGCCAACACTTTCGAACAGGTTTTTGGAATTCTTATTTGGAGTTTGCAATCTTTGGCCTGTGGTGAGCACCCTTTGCAGCGACATGATTTCCTGGATTGGCTGCCAACTGACAAAGCCAGGCAAAGGCTTGCAGGCAAACCACATGGGTTGAGGGCTGCCTTGTCAGTGGTAAAGGCCGACTGGAAGGCTTTCAAAGAGATTTTCCATTTTCCTGGTTGGCAAGGCGATGAAGGGTGCTGCTGGCTTTGCAAGGCCACTGTACAAGATATGCGAAGCAAACCACACACTGCTGACATGCCTTTGGACCATTGGTCATTTCTGCACAGGCAAAAGTATGAGTATGGCAAACCTGTCAGCACACTTTTAGCTGCTCCCACTTTGAGGGTGCACCAATTCAAGCCAGATTGGTTGCACACCATGGACCAAGGCTGCACTGCTGATTTCCTGGGGATTTTTTTTCTTTGGATCCTTCTTCCCAAAATGCATGGGAGGAACCAAACAGAGCGAATCAGATCCCTTTTTGTTTTGATCGAAGAATATTATGCACAGCATCCTGTCCAACAGCGCTACAACACCTTGACTGTGAAGATGCTCCAGAAGAAGCCCACTTCTGCTCCCAAACTTCGAGGCAGAGCTTCTGAAGTCAAAGGCTTGGTGCTTTTTGGAAAATTGATGGCTGACAAATATTGCAGAGATGATGACCTGGTTGAACACTCTGTGAAGATGGCTGCCCATCATTTGAACAATTTGTATACCATTGTTTCGAACAGAGCGTCTTTTTCACCAGCTGCAATGCACACTGAATCCTTCAAGCTGAGATCTTTGCTGAAAGCTTTGGATGCGCACCATCCACAGAAAAATATGTGGAGGCTCAAGCCTAAGATGCACCTCATGGAGGAAGTGTGTGAGAAAGCTGAAGACAACCCCTTGGATTCTGCCACATATAGAGATGAGGATTGGGGAGGAGCAGTGGCAAGGTGGGCCAAAAGGCGAGCAGGTAAAAACACTGTGGCCAGTACAGCCCACAATGTGCTCACCAAGTTCTGTGCCAACAACAAGTTGCCCGACCTTTGCTGAGAGAAAAAAGTGCTGCCAGCTGCTGGGCTTGGGGGAATGGTTCAAGATGCTCCTACATGCTCCTACACAGGAGTGTCTGCTCCTATGAAGGAGCCTGCAAGGAACAATTTATGCCTCCTACAAAGGAGGCATAAACTGACAAAATTGAAAGTTAAATAAAAAAACCTTAAATAAGGAAAAAGCCCTTAAATAAGAAAATATACTTTAATTAAATAAGAAAAAGACTTTAAATAGAGTCTTTTATTGAAAAACACCCCTTAAATAAGGAAACGAACCTTCTTTAAGGTCTGATTTTAAAAGGTGTTTTCTTATTTAAGGTGCGTTTTCTTATTTAAACACTTTTGGAAGAGCTGGGCCATCATCAACGATGTTGTGATTGCGAGAGTCCAGACCCTCCGCGAGGCCACCAAGAGGGAAGAAATATCTTCTGAATCCAGCTTACTTGCGATGTGCGATTGCATTGCAAACACGATGAAGGTAACAACACCAGCAGCACCGGTGTGATCAGAGTTGAAGCAAGGAACGATGGTGACACAGTGGGCAAACCAATCAACTGGCACTCCCGAGATCTAAAATCAGTGGCCCAGAACATCTCAAGTTCCGTCGGCGACGCCATAAAGGTGCACGGCATAGCTGAACAGAAAAGCAGCCTCCAGAAAGCGAATGTGGCTGGCACTTTTGATCTCAACAAGAGCTGATTGAACAAAAGCGTGCACACCATAGCTGATCGAAATTTTACAGAGTTGCACCCAGGATGCTGGTCTTCCGGTTGCCACCACTCCGTACATGCTGGCCAGAAGAAGGGCAAAAGCGATGTGAATTGCGACACGTTGGACCATTCGGAACATCCGAATGCGAGATTGCAACAGCTCTTTGTCAAAACGTCGCTTCTTGTCCAGCTCCCTTTGGGTCATGACATGCTTGTGTTGCTGGCATTTCTCCAACAGTCGTGCCAACCCCAGTTTCACTTCGGATTTCGTCAAATAAATATGCAAACCAACCAATGGCATTGCCATTGCCATGACGGGCGGCGATGCGAAGAACTCCGAAGTTTCAAATCGTTCCATTGCTGCGGTCGGCAACGCCTTCTGGATCCCAAGATTCAGGAGAAAGCTCTGACGCACGGGCCGCACGGCTGGACCGTAACAAAGTCACAAAATTGGAGCGTTGTGGAAGGTGGGCAAATATGGGCAGGCCATGTCAGACACGATGTAAAATATGTTAAAATTGAGAAACATCATATGGAAAATTCAGGTTCTGGTCATGTCCCAATTAGATCCAATTAGGTCATCCTTTGATGGCATCTGCCAGAAACGGCATCACGAGAACGTGGCAGCCGACCTTTTCCACATCTGCCAACGCAGATGATATCGAACGGGCACCATCGAAAAGCCGGCACTTCAAAGATATGCGGGTGAAATGGTGCTGCAATCTTCGGGATCCTATGAGTATAGCTGACTTGGTCAGAAATCTATGGGTGAAACCTATGGCACCCATCACCGGACATCGCCCTCTTCATGGATGCTCTCCAGGTCATCCCGGCGCCTCCGCAACTGCCGTACGTCAAAGGTGCTCAGATGCAGATGGAAATGGCTGGGCCTCACCGCATGGTACCATCCAGGTCACCAAGATTTTCCCCGCACCATTTGAGGCTATCTGAGATACTCTGCACTTTTGAACAAATATGTAGATACATAATTATATATATATATTGCATTATATTACTGTATATTAAATATATAATTAAATTTACTACTTCTTATATTGTTATGTGCGACAAAAGATGCAAACAAAAAACAAAACTAGGTCACGCGGTCTCCTGGGTAGCTGTGGCGATGGAATCTTTAGCAGCAGCATCTGGGCTGAACTTTTCAAACACTTTTCCGAGGCCACCTTTTGGTGCCTTTTACATGTAGCGAATTGCGTCTTTGCCTGGTGATTCACTTGAATGATGGGACTTCAGAGTCTCTTCTGCATAGGCGTCTGAATACAAGGCACTAATTTTATTGTGACTGATGTTGCTGCAAAGACAATTTAACATCACATAGAAATTCTTTCACAATGCAAGTGCAAGTTAAAGTTTACAGTTAAAAGAGGCAGCGTCAGTAATGAAGTAATGGGTCGAAGTGAAGTCAAATTGAAAAAGGTAGCATCAGCAATGTGTGGAAGTGCCAGTCAACTTTTAAGTAGCGTAACAATAGTGTGTGCAATATCAAGTGAACGTTATTGTCCCCGGTAACATAGCATCAACTATATTTGTAAACGAAATTGACCCTCCACTGCACCGCTGTGGCAGGTAAAACTAAGGCCTATTTGACCTGCGCCCGCGTTTTGCATGAAATCCACATTTTACAGTAGTGGTTGTTACTGGTTGTTTCATGTTTAATTCAGTTTGAAAACCAGATTCCATCAACATTAACAAGTGAGGCCTGCCAGCACAGCTTGTTTCTCCGCACGGGTTGTTGTACTGGGATGGGTTGAGTGTCTTCCCTGACCTTCCTCTTCCCGTTTCATGCCTCCTAAAATTGCTTGTGCTACGCTGGAAAAGCCAGCTCTCTCGAGAAGCTTGGGCAAAGCGCCCTCGGATTTAGCATTGGTTGAACAATTTCATCTCAATTCTTCCTATAAGAAAGTAAACACAAAACATATATGAAAGTGCCAGGAAATAAACAAAAATAAACACCTTGGGTTTTCCAACTTTTGATTCTGTGTTTTTGCAATATGTTGTTGAACACATAAAACAAAGTAACAATAAATCTTAAACACTAATTGATCTCCAACTTGAGACTAGTCAAGACTTCAAACATTCAAACATCGTCAAAAATCAAACATGTTGAAAAAATCCATTGTTTCTTTTTCAGTGTTTGATTTTTGTTGAACTATTTCCTTGCCTTTTGAAACCTTATGAAATTCCCACTTTCGATTTGTCAGAAAAAATATGTTCCTTGTTTTTTTTGGCCAGGTTTTGAAACACACATCTTCCTAGGGAAACACACATCGGGCTTTTCCACTGTTTGGATGTGTTTGTTTTTGCTGAATAAACACGTTCAACACATTAAACACATGATCTCCAACTCGAAGCTATTCAAGAATTAACACATTCAAAATCATCGAACATCAACAGGTTGAATAACCGTTTTACAAAATCTCACAAAAACCCAAGGAATGATTGGTAAGAAAAATCAAACGCCGGAATTTCAAGAGTCAAAATCAACAAAAATATTCGGAACTAGTCTTAAAACATTATTTCAACTCTTATTGACTTCTTTAGAAATAGTAACTATAACAACACCCTGGATAAAATCCAAACATTGATCTCCAACTTGACACTGATAATTCTGGGTCACATAGGCGCCACCCGAGGGGACGGCGGCAACTGCCCAGCAAAAAAATGCCAGGTGACTTTGGGATGATTCCGCCCATACAAAACACACAAAAAAAACTTAGTTTTTGTTGAACAGTCGCGCAACTTCAGCCAGAGAAGCGGGGTTTGTCTGAAACTACCGGTTTCCATTCACTGGTTTATCACATGTTTTCTCATTTTAACTGCAATAAATGACCGATAAATATATGAAAATATCTCATCTTTCAGATTTTAAGAACATATAAAACCATCCATCTCATCATGATTTATATAATTCATCCATATTCATCCTATGATCCCCCAATGAAATGGTTGGTTCTAATCCTCCATAAAATTTGGTCTTATCTTTGGAAATTACCATATCTGATTACGGGATAGGGATACTATGAAATGTCACCATAAAATAATATAAAATATCATAAACTGGTTAGTTTTCTACGTGTAGACCACCATTTTTATGGTTCATCCTCCCCAAGACGCGCCAAGTGTCTTTCCAGGTTCTTCCTCCTCCGCCACGCTCACAGAGACGTTTCGGGCCAACAGATAGGCACGCGGCCGACTGCCCGGAATGCGGAACAACAGGGGAGCAGGGAAGCCAGGGATTTCCGCATCCTCCAAGGTCAGATTTTGATGATGAAAAATGGGGGCATGACTGTTGACGAATTATGAAATCACCAAGTACAAGGATTCAAGCTATGCCAAAAGGGCAATCCAATGTGATCCATCCTGGGTAGGGTCAAAAATGATCCCAAACATGGATAAAAATGGATGGTTTTCATCCGAGAATTGGTACCACATTTTCGACCCGAAGCCCAATAGCATCCAATAGCCATGAAGGGAAGACAATAAAAAACACTGTTTTCTGGTCAAAAATCAAGAAATATCAAGTACCCCAGTAGTGGGCCGCATCAACGCCGATGGTTCAACCATGTTTCAGCCGTTGAAATTCTCCCTGTCCTCCACCGAAAGGCTGCGCGCATTCTTGAAGAAGTCATCCACGCGTGGCCAGTCATTGATCCGAATGAAGCTGCGTAGGGTGGGCATGCCGTTCTCACGAGGACGTCGCAGGAATGAGAGGCTCACCTCTTCGATATCCATCCCTGGTAGGACCAGGTCGAAAGATCTGATGAGCACCCATTGTCACTGGTATAATATGGTAGTAATTAAGTATTAATCCTGTGTTTTCAAATGGGAGAACAAACAAATGCAAGTTCTATTATCCTGTGATCATCTGCGATCGTTATTCAAAGCCCATTCAGGCCCATTTACCCCATGTATCGCATGTGTCTCATGCACTAGTACTACCACACAAGGCGGTGGCGGAAGTTTTAAAAATAGGAAATCTATAGGAAGGGTTGGATGTAGTGTGGTGTTGTGCAGTTGTAGTTGTAGGTGTAAGTGTAGTTGTAGTTGTAGTGTAGTGGGGTTGTAGTTGTAAGTTGTTGTAATGTAGTGTAATTTGTGTAGCGCAGTTGCAGTTGTAGTTGTGGTGTGGTGTAATTAATGTAGTGTATTGTAGTGTACTGTAGTGTTGTGTACTGTAGGGTGGTATAGTGTAGTGTAGTCTAGTGTATTGTAGTGTAAAGTAGTGTAGTTGTAAGTGTAGTGTCGTGGAATGCAACGTAGTGGTAGTTGCAGTTGTAGTGAAATGTAATGTAATTAGTGTAGTGTAGCGTTGCGTAATGTAGTGTAGTTGTAGTTGTAGTTGTATTTGCAGCTATAATGTACTGCAGTTTAATTAGTGTATTGTAGTGATAATGTAGTGTAGCTGTACTTGTAGTTGTAGCTGTGGTGGTGGTGGTGGTGGTGGCGGTGGCGGTGGCGGTGGCGGGCGGTGGGCGGTGGTGGTGGGTGTGTGGTTTGGGTGGCTGTGTGGCTTGTGTGGTGGTGTAGTGGGATGTGGTAGTGTAGTGGTAAGTGTAGCGTACGGTAGCGGGGTAGGCTGTAGCGGTCAGTGGTAAGTGGTGTGGTGGTGGAGTGAGTAAGTAGTAGTAGTAGTAGCAGTAGTAGTAGTAGTAGAACTAGCTGTTGTAGTAGTAGAACTAGCTGTTGTAGTAGTAGAACTAGCTGTTGTAGTAGTAGAACTAGCTGTTGTAGTAGTATAAACTAGCTGTTGTAGTAGTTGTAGTGTAATAGTGTAGTGTAATTATTGTAGTGTATGTTAGATGTAATTAGATGTAATTAGATGTAATTAGATGTAATTAGATGTAATTAGTGTAGTGTAGGGTAATTAGCGTTGTGTAATGTAGGGTTGTAATATATCTGTACTTGTAGTTGTAGTTGTTGTGTAGTGTAGTGGTACTTGTAGTTGTAGTTGCAGTTCTATCTATCTATCTATCTGCAAGCTTGAAAACAAAGCTATTCTGCGAGAATTCCTCAGTTTTTGAACTTGACAACGTCAAAAACGAAACAAGTCTGCGAGACTTCCTAAATTTTCGAGCTTGACAACATCAAAAACAAAACAAGTCTGCGAGACTTCCTCAATTCTCGAACTTGACAACATCCAAAACGGAGCAATTCTGCGAGACTTCCTCAATTTTCGAAGTTGGCAACATCAAAAACGAAACAATTCTGCGAGACTTCCTTCAAAAATGGAAAGTTGAGTGCAGAGCTGACGGCCTCGTACCAATGCGTTTTGCAATTTGTCCACTCCACCTGTCTAAAGTACTGCCCTTGCCACGAAAAAGTGAAGCCAGGTCAGACGAAATGCTGCACCTGTCACGCAAGATCATCTTAGCAAACCTGAAGATCTGATGCTCCAAAATGCAGCCCTCTCAGGAAATCAGTGCCCTGACCTCCTAACATCTCTGATGAACATGTCTCTTGTATTGCGCCTGCCACGCAAAATATGCATCTTGGCAGATCGTCTTCAAATGTCCCACGCCTGCCATTGTTTTTGAAACTGCTACAAAACCCTCACGTTTTGCTCAAAAAGTGACAAGGTGCCCAATCCCTTGCGCCTGCCACGCGAAACGACATCTGAACGTCCAAAAGTGGTCCGAGCAAGGTGTGCTTTGTACATTTTGACTTGGAAATGTGCTTCGCGCCGCAACGGCGTGCACTTTTTTGACATCACAACTTCCAAAAGTGGTCCGAGCAGGGTGTGCTTTGTACATTTTGACTTGGAAATGTGCTTCGCGCTATACAATGGCGTGCACTTTTTCGACATCTCAACTTCCAAAAGTGGTCCGAACCTGGAATTCGACATGTGCTTCGTGCCACAACGGCGTGCACTTTTTCGATATCTCAACTTCCAAAAGTGGTCCGAATGGTGTGCTTTCTACCAGGACCTTCCAACGTAGCACTTTTTTTCGCCCCTATGGTCATTCGACACAGAAATCGACAACTCGATACACTTTTTCCAGTTCGTAGCGCAAATTTCTGATCCGAGCAATTTTCCTGAGTTCGACCTATTTTCTCTTGGCTACCCGAGCTCGACTGAAAACAGGAATTGTTTGCTTTGATGCGACACTAGTTCGAGCGAAAATTTGCGCAAAAAAGCCGCAAATTCAAAAACTGTAACAAATCCAACTGACAATGGGGAAGGCATGAACCCCCTCGAGCATTTTTTCTGCAAAAGAGCAGTTTTTTTTGCAAACGGGCGAAAATCCACAGCACGAGCAAAATAAAATCGCTACACAAATAAATGTATCATTGGAGGGTCTTGGTACATTTTGACTTGGAAATGCGCTTCGTGCCACAACGGCGTGCAATTTTTCATCTCTCATCTGGCCAGCTGGCTCCGCACCCGCCGCTTTGGCGAGCCTACTTTTCGATCCTCCGGAGCTACAAATCA